GCCTCAGCAATAGCAAGGCCCTAAGCAACTCAGTGAGACCCTGTCTCTAAATAAAATACAAAATAGGGCTGGGGATATAGTTCAGTGGTCAAGTACCTCTGAGTTCAATCCCCAGTATCCTCCCCCGCCGCCCCCCCTCGTCCCAAACAGCAGTCCAGCCCTCCTCAAGCCCCTTTCTCCCTCATTTTTATTTATTATTTTGGTACCAGGGATGGAACCCAGGGGTGCTTAACCAATGAATCACATCCCCAGCACTTTTTATTTTTTGAGACAAAGTCTTGCTAAATTGCTTAGAGCCTAAGTTGCTGAGGCTGACCTTGAACTTGGCAATCCTCTTGCCTCAGTCTCCTTAGTTGCAAAGAATACAGGCATGTGTCACTGTGCATGGCCTCTCCTTTAAAAATCCCTTTTTCTTAGGGGTTGGGGATTTTTGCCATGCAAGCCCCTAAGTTCAGTCCAGGGGGGGGAAAAGCCCCCCTCCACTCTTAACCATTCATCTGATAAACTGGTATTTTCTTCCCTTCTTCTTGCTTTTTAAAAATTTTTTATTTTTTGAGGGGGGAGGGGGTAGTGCTGGGAATCAAAACCCAGGGTCTTATGCATCCTAAGCTACATTCCCAGCCCTCCCCTTGATTTTTAGAACATAATACGCTTAAAGTGCTATTTGTTTTTCAGACACTATTTACTTCCTATTAGAAAAGAGTTTCACTCTATTATCCAACTCCCATCCCCAAATCTACTCTTGGTTATTTATTTATTTAGTTAGTTAGTTGTTGATGGTTCTTTATTCTGTTCATTTTTATATGCAGTGCTGAGAATCGAACCTAGTGCCTCACACATGTGAGGCAAGCGCTCTACTGTTGAGCCACTACCCCAGCCCCCCAAATCTATTCTTACCTTATCAATAAAGCCATGATCAGCTCTTGCTTTTTAGTATGTCCACGTTAATAAAAACATTCACTCGTTCATTACCTGAAAAATCCATCAATCAGTAAAGATAGACCTAGTATATTTCACTAAAAATTCATATCTTTGTGAGGACAAAAGTACCATCACTGTACATTTTTCATCAATATACCTGAAGCAATAAAAGGATTTTTATCCTTTCAGTATAGTAAAAACTACCAAAATCTTAAGTTGGCTTAAAAATATTTAAGGAAATCACAATTGAATTATATGTGCCTAGTTAAAAGACATAACAAAGTTATTTGTGCTCCGAGGGCAAAAGTAATCTTTGTAGGACTGATGTCTTGGGAAGGAAGTATCAGAGAGGATATGAGTCAACAATAATCCATGTAATCTATCAATGGAGCAAGGAAAACAGGCCTCAGCTATACGTCTCTAGGAATGCAAATGAACATAAAAACAAGCAAGTGATTTCTACTTGGGGCCTAAAAACCTAAGCCAGATGTTTTGAACCTCACAGAAATCAATTCCAAGGAAGGAAATACTCAGAAATACAAAGGTTTGTGGACAAGAACATTCACAAGCAGTATTATTTATAATCATGGAAAACAATCTTTATGTACCAAAATAGAAAAATTGTTAAATGATACTAGATCTGTAGAATCCAATTATATAAAATCACCAAATTCATGCTTTCAGAGAATACTTAATGCTATGGGAAAATGCTCATGAAAAAAAAATTAAGGAAGGTCAGCCTACATGTAAAAATATGCATGTGTATATAATATATACACATATGCAAATACATGTATAAGTATATATAAAATATCTATACACACCCCAACTTAAGTTCATAGGAAAAAGACAACTTTTTTCTCCTGGCTGGTCCACCATCCTTTTACTTCAGAATCACCTGGGGGGCTTATTAAAAATGAAAATTCCCTATTGACTTAGGAAGCAGAACCTAAGGATCTCTGTCTACCTATCGACACAACTCACACCTCAGTTTGAGACCCCTGGACCCAAAACACTAGCTCTCTCTGAGCAGTGGAATTATGAATAATTGCCTTCTTTTCTTGAATCTTAATAAACAATTCTTTACTGAGCAAACATCACTTTTATGATTCAAAGTTTATTCAAAGCACATTAATGAGGCATGAGTATTAGCAACAGTTGATTTAGGTTCCATTTGGACAAGTCTAAACAACTTCTGAGAACTAGAAAGTGCATTTTTTTTAACCTAAAATAAGTAGGTATCTATGAATTCCTGGCAACTGAAAGTCAATGTAGGACAAAGAAAGCACTATACCAAGTGTAGATATGGAAATCATTACCTCCATAAATTGAGCTGGTAAAACATAAAACTATAATCATTTTAGAAGTAATAAGGAATAGTATTTCTCAATATCCCAAGATGTTCCTTGGCAAAAAGAGGGTTCAGTGATCAAATAAGCTTGGAGGAACATGGCACATTATTACCCCTCTTCCCTCCTACTAATGTATCACCAGGAGTAGATTACAGGTTAAGTCAAACATACACTTCATTCTTAATTCTAGCTCCAAAAATTCTTAGAATTCTCCTAGCATTAAAAACAAACTCAAGGCCAAAAGAGGGTCTAGAAAGAATTCTCACCATGGACTGATACTGCCCCCAACATCTCAATTCCTTTCCTTGGTGTTGGAGGGCTCAGCCCACATACATTTATAAAGCCTGAGTCTAAGAGCATGGCTCAAGCTAGCTACCAAATAAAGCCCAGAAGCAGCAAAACTAAGCACCAGGCTACTAGATATTTACTTTTGTTTATTATCCACCCTTACACTATGAGGTCAGGGCTAGAAATGTGTCTCCTTTTGTCTACTCATTTTATGTACACCCAACACAAGAAAGCTTAGCACTTGTTTGGTACTCAGTGAAGCGGGCGCACCTACCAGGTGGTTTAAGTTCCTGAAAAGTACAGTAATGAAATGAGCTTGGCACATAAGTATGTTCTAATTTGTGCACTCTCGTGATATCAAGGCTTTATTCATTCAGAAAACATTTCTGAGTGCTCACTGTAGGTAGGCATTTCTAAAAATATAGAGGTGACCAGGACATAGTCTCTACCCATAAGGGTTTCGTGCAGTGGAGATACTAGTCCTAGGCTTTCCCTATGTACAGGTTTGGGCTCATAGTAGATGTCTAATTAATGCTTGTTTAGAAACAAAGATACACTATGCTGATCAAATTTGGGCACTTTGGGGGCAAAGTCTAGTCAGAATCCAACCATTCTAGAGATGCCTGAAAACTGAAGCACAGCTTTTTTTTTTTTGGTACTTGGGATTGAACTTGGCCCTTGTGCATGTGAGGCAAGCACTCTCCCAAATGAGCTATATCCCCAGTCCCAAGCAGAGCTGTCTTGATCATCACTACTATGCCGTCTCCATAACCATCCAGGAGTCAAAATTTTTGACCAGAGAAACCCCAGAACCCAAAGAATTTTGAGAGAACACACTCTGACAATGTTTCTAAATTTGTGTAGCGTAAAGCTCTTTAGGTTCTTGTGATGTTAATACACAACATTGAGAAAGGAGTTCATAAAAAGTTGACAGCCCTCTACTGCAGGCCTCCTCAATGCCTTTACCCAATGGGCTCCTTATCTGCACTGTCACATGTAATCGTCACAACAATCCTGTCAAACAAGTCTCTCCATCCCCATTTTGGAGATAAACAAGCTCCAGAAGTTAAGAGAGAATAAGTAATCTGCTCTAGACCACACAGAGGTGCTACACAAAGTACAAAATGGGACTCTAAAATCAGGTCTTTCTTGTACCCAACCTGGTTTGTGATCATTCCAAAGAATACTGTTTTTAATAGGTTGATGGGCACGAACCCAGTCCCAGAGGGGACATAGAGCATAAAACATTCCCCAAACTGATTTAATTAGGGAGCCCTTTTGAATGAATCAGCATTCTATATTAATTTTCCACAGAACATAAGATCATAAGGAAAGGCTATTCTACAAGGAACATTTATTAAGTTTGTGCTCAAAGAATTATTCTCTCCTTATTCTGTATGTTAGGAATTTTCATTATAATGTGCCTTGGTGTGGATCTCTTGTGATTTTATACATTTGGTGTCTTGTAAGCCTCTTAAATTTGATTTTCCAATTCATTCTTCATGTTTGGAAAATTTTATGATATTATTTCATTGAATAGATTGTTCATTCCTTTGGTTTGGAACTTTATGCCTTCCTCTATCCTGATAACTCTTAAACATGGTATTTTTATGGTATTCTATATTTCTATTATTAATGGGGACATGTAAATTAAATCTCAGTAATAAATACCACTTTTTACCCCCAGATTCATAAGCTTCACTTGATGACTCATTTCTTTCAAAAAATATTTGATAGAGCATTCCAATTCTGACATATTCAATCTTCAGGATCTGTTGTTGGATCAACTTACCTAGTAATTCAACTCAATATGTCACTAATTTTGGTAAAGCACATTCACATTGGAAGTATAAATTTTAACTTGCTGTATAACTCAACAGGCCTGCAATATGCATTTGGGGATGAGGTTATTCTACAGGACTAACCCAAACTTTACAGGGCATCTAGCATTCCTGACCCCTGCAGATTAAAACCAGTAATATTATCACTACCACCCCTCTGTCATTGTGAGAAGAAAACATTCCCACAATTTCCAAATTCCTAGGACAGTACTCAGATGAGAATTGTGGGCTAAGAGCAAACCAAAAATTTCAGCAAAACACTAACATATCACTTAGCCCAGCCCTGAATTCAATAATCCAGTAAAACCACTGCATGCTATTGTTAATATTACATATACAAAGTCTTGTGACTCGCTCTTTCTCTTCTGTTAATAACATGAGCAGATTCAACACAAACTGACAAAATACCATTTCTAGCCAAGAGGCCGATTCCAGTGTACTTTTCCAATTACTACAATAAAGCTGGGCAGAAGCTAAGCCCAGGACTGCATGGCTTACATCTGTGGCAGTAGTCAGAAAATGAGAAGAATACCTGCAAAATCTATCTTTTTGTCAAATATGCACTTTAAGAAGGATGCTGGGTGGTTTTTTTTCTTCTTCTAAAAATGATTTATTATCAAAAAGCTTGCTCCCTCTCACTAATGAGTCAGATCAATAATGCAGCTCCATCCTTTTTAGGATTATCAGGGCCAAAATAATTTCAGACCAAAAAACAAAAACAAAAGAAAAAAAAAAATCTGGACTGTAGGTTCAGTAACATTTACAGACATGTCAATATGTTTCATTTCTTGATTGGAATGCCAATCACCATAAAATCTTCTGCTAGAGTCACTTCTTGGAGATCTAACACTGATTCTGCTTGCTTTTTCAGTTCCGCAATGCCATCTGTTTCTCCTTCTCTGGCCAAGGCAACTGGTTTGTACCTCTGACTGAAATGAGTAAGAACCAGCCTCTTTGCTTGGCACATTTTTGCAAACGTTGCTGCCATCTGAGGTGTGCTATGGCCATGCTCCTTTGCTTTGTCCATCTGGGTGTCATCCAGGGTTGCCTCGTGGATCAACAGGTCTGCTTCAAAGCACAGTTTCACTCCTCCATCTCCTACAACCCCAGAACAATCACCCAATATGCATATTTTTCTTCCAACAATAGGCTTTTTTAAGACATCCTGGGGAGAAATTGTAACCCCATTTTCCAGAACAACAGAGATCCCATTTTTCAGCTTCCCATAGGCAGGACCTGGCGGAACACCTAATGATGAAGGCAGACAATGTTACATCATGGATATGGAATTTATGACTGTTTAAAAGAGTCTATTTTAATAGCATAGCAAATAGAAGATGGAAAAGGCATCAAATTCTTTTCATAATTATTATAAATGTTTTACTACTGTGGAAACTCGAATATTTATACATTTTAAAAGTTCAGTGTTGACTCCTAATACAATGTCTTTATATTTAAAACATTTCTCATGCACATGTACCAGATGACTTTTAAACTCCTAAGTCCCTCTAAGATTTTGTTATAGTCAAGATAAAAGTTTTTGTTTTTTTTTTTATAGAGAGAGAATTTTAATATTTTATTTAGTTTTTTTAGTTATTGGCGAACACAACATCTTTGTATGTGGTGCTGAGGATCGAACCCGGGCCGCATGCATGCCAGGCGAGCACGCTACCGCTTGAGCCACATCCCCAGCCCCAAGATAAAAGTTTTGATTCTCTGCTGTGCATAGGAATTACAGCTTTTAAGGGTATTAAATAAATTAAATATATCATATATTAAATATAATAAGGTCATCTTTGGGTAAAATTAGAAAAGTCATCTAAATAATGACATAATCAATGCTAGTCAAGACAGGTACCTACAAACTAACATAATAAAAATGTGTTAGAGAGAACTGTTGGATCACAAGATCAATGAGCATTTGGGCAACTGTACACAATCAATCTTCTTCATAAGTTGGTGAAGTCCTATGTTTACCAACCTGGAATTAAATCTCACATCAGTTTAGAATAACATCTGATCATCATTCTGGACAACTGCTTACAAACAAGTGTAATGATAGTGATAACCAATTCCAACACTGATCATGTTTAAAATTTCCAAATATAACAGTATTTCCATAGGCTTTTAGATAATAAAAATAACTTTGACTTAAGTTACTTTTCCTCATCTAGCATCTTATTTAGAGTGGAGAAGAGACTGCATATGTAAAGAGACAAACAAAAAATATCATCATGCTTTTTATAGGCACAGTCACACCATGTTAAGGAAGGTAGAGATGGAGGCAGAATGGACTGGGCCTCTGCTCCCTAAGAGGTATTAAGGATCCCCTCATGCATGATGGCTAGTTGGAGGAAGTGTGAAGCCTTCCATGGCCCTAAGACCATCTTGGTGTACTTCTTCCCCACTGTGATGAACCCTGGTATGTAAAACTGGTTGAGGTGTAATATGCTAAACACCAAATTAATCAAGGTTGAATGAGTAGACAAAGTAGATTGAGCAGGAAACCATGGAAGTACTTGGTTGCAGTTTAAGTTGTAAGGTTAAGAACCAAGGAAAAAAAATTCTCAGATCAAAGATGTCACTGAAAACATACTTCAAAAGGAAGCCATGAGGGTTAGGGAATAGCTTAGTGTTACAGTGTACAGCATTTACCTACCATATGGGAGGCCCTCAGTACTTAAAAAAAAAAAAAAAAAAGAAAAGAAAAAAATAAAACTGAAGACAAGAGACCTAAAACCATCACCATTACCACCACCTAAACCATCTTACCAACCAAGACAGTACAAGGCAGATTAAGAGTGTGGATCCAGCCAGGTATGGTAGCAGATCCCTATAATCCCAGTAACTCAGGAGGCTAAGGCAGGGGGACCGCAAGTTAAAGGCCAGCCTTGGCAACTTAGAAAGACTCCATCTCAAAATAAAAAATAAAAGGGACTGGAAATGTAGCTCAGTGGTAAAGCAACTCTGGGTTCATTCTTCAGTACCAAAATAAAACAAAGCAAAAAACAAAGGAATATGGCTCCAGGAAGTTAAAGAGAGAAGGATTCAAATATACTACATATTTGACTTTTATTCTGAATAAAATCTTATGGCCCCAAGGATTTTCCTTAATAAACAAACTTTGGGCAAAGGAAGTGAGTACAGAAAATGTAAGTTTCAGGCCTGAGACACAGGAAAGGAAGTTACTATGATACTTCTAATGGCTTCAGTAAAAAACAGTTCAATTGATAAAAAAAGAAAAAACACGGGCTGGGGTTGTGGCTCAGTAATAGAATGCTTGCCTAGCACAAGTGAGGCACTGGGTTCGATCCCCAGCACCACATAAGAAAACTAAATAAACAAAATAAAGGATTGTGTCCATCTACAGCTAAAGAAAGAAGGAAAGAAAAAACAAACCACTTACCAAGGTCTTTCAGCTTCTGTGCATTGAGTTTACCTGGGCGTTTCTTTTCTACAACTGAAAACCCAAAGGAGGGAATTCTGTGAAAGAGGCGAAATGCTTTTACAACAAACTGTTCATCATCAACCAGAAGGTATGAGTTTTCTTCTGAATCTAATAGGATAGTTCTTCCTTGTCCCTCTTTGGGAGAGGGGGGGCTCTCTGTTGCTTTATCGACATGTGAAGATTCTTTTAGTACTTCTGTAGGACACTGATCTTCTGTGGGCACCAGCTCATGGACCACGTAAGGGAACACCAACTCTGTGTGAGAGAGCTCCATGGTTCGCCAGATAAAGTCTCGAAGTCCTACAGGGCCATAGATTTCAATTGGCTGTTTGGTGACCACAGAGCCACTCTGCAGGCTGATTGTGCAGAGGAGGCCGGGAAGGCCAAAGAAATGGTCTCCATGAAGATGCGTGATGAAAATCTTGGTAATTCTCCCTTTTGATTAAGACAAAGAAATATATTTGGAAATTTTTAGAAGTAAAACCTCAGACAAAACTATTTGAAACAAACCAAACGACTTACATAAAAGCAGGAAGTTGAATTTACAAGTTCTATTTACCATCATAAACTTATTCCTTTACATTATACGACATGATTCCAGAAGTAAGACAGTCTTTATTTCACTGGATGGTTTTAAATAAGATGAACTTTTTTTTCCACAAAACATTTTCAAATTACATAAGTTTTACAGTATTTTCCTATATATGTTCTCTCATTTAAAAACAAGAAAGAAAGAAAGAAATGAAATATGTGTACCAAAATAATTCACTTAACTAGATGGGACTAAGTGTCAAAAGCATTTGGCAGTCACATTGCCCCCTACTGCCCCCTCTGGGAACAGGGAATGTGTATTCCAACAAAACAAAATGTTCCACCAACTACTCTGAATGATTGGACCAGTGCCCGAACCCAAAACTGCCTTTTAAGGACTCTACTCTGGACAGGGATTAGCCAACCAAGTCAGGGCCTGCCTATGCGGGTGAGCTTGTAGGAAAAGGAGAAAAAGGATGGGGGTGGGGGGTACAGGAGGGGGAGAAAAGGAGGAAGAGAGTAACCGAGTAAGAAACAGGGGAAGAAGGTGGACAACTATAGATGCCACAATGTAGACTGGAGAGCAGGTCCTCTGGACCTATATCTTGGACCTATCTCTTGCTTTTAGTCTGAACGAATACAATAGCTTTTTCAGTGCACTATTGGCTAGGTTATAACTTTATTTAGCCAATAGTAAACTGAATTTACTGCTGGTATGTGGCAGGATGCCACATCACCATTTTCTGAGGTGCACCACAGGCATTTTGAAAGTAACAATCACAACTAGCACATTTCCAGTATAACAGGCTTTTGGGCCTACTTCAAGACCCACCTATTTTAAATATTTGATACCATAAAAGTACAGGATCTCTTTATTGATACCATAAAAGAACAGGAACTGTTTATTGCAATGTGATTTGTGCTACGTCAGCAAATGGTCTCCAGTTTCTCCATTCTAGACTCTTCCTAGAACGACTCCGCCCAACCCAGGCTGCAGTGGCAAGTGGCAGAGAACAATGGATTGGGCAGAAGTTGATTTTGGACCCTGAGAACCCCCTGGAGGCACTCTCTAACTAGAAATCTCAAAATGCTCCTTTCTCTTTTTAGTCCTTGTTGTCACTGTTTATGACTTCGAGAATCTTTTCATTTCAACTACCTGTCTAGGCTGCCAAGCCACCTCCAAGTGGGACCTGAAGACTACACAGACATAAGGATGGCAGCAGCTAAGCCCAGATCACACGCTGGCCTCAAAACTGTTAACATCAGACTTTCTGGGTCCTCTCCTATCTACTCCAAAACAAAGCCAGAGTAGAACACCAAAACAGCCTGTGAACCCAAAGCACGCAAGACAAATTAAGTAAGTGGAAAATTGCTTCCCACAGTTATCACAATTTCAGGGAAGATAAACATTTCATTTTTCAAGAAACTTGATTTTAGAGGAAGAAGTAACAGTAACCACAATTATCAGAGGTATGAGGAAGCTATCAAATGAAGAACACATGCATTCCCTTTCATTTGAGAACAAGGAAGTGATGGAGAAATACTGCCAAAAACAGTAGTGGAATACAAAGCATCCCCAGAAAAGAATGATAATAAACACCCTCTGAAATAATTATTCTTACAGCAATTAAAGTCATTAATTTTCACAGGAAAAGTTCTGCAACAGATTGTATGTATATATGCTCAGCTAAAAAAAAAAAACAGGTTATGCAAAGTACAGTGTGATTCCATTTATGCAAAACGACACATACATACATACAAATATACCCATACCGTTACAATATCTGTATGTATAGAAAATCTACCTATGGGAAGAGGACTTGGGTTTCTCTTCTTTACACTGTTTTGTTTAAACTTCTACAATAAGCATATTTATACATTTATTATTGTTTTATTATTATCATTTTATTTATTTACTTTTTGGTGCTGGGGATTGAACCCAGGGCCTCACACATGCTAAACACGTATTCCACCACTAAGCTATATCCACAACTCCTTTTAAATTTTTATAATCATGTTAAAAGCATGTTTTTGTAATCCTTTTTTCCCCCAGTACTGAGGAATGAACTTAGGAGTGTTCTACTGCTTAGCTACATTCCCAGCCCTTTTTATTTTTTCTTTGGAGACCCAGTCTTGCTAAGTTTCTAAGACTGGCTTCAAACTTGCGATACTCTTGCCTCAGCTTCTCGAGTTGCTGAAATTACAGGTATGTTCCTGTGTGCCCAGTTGTAATACTTTTGAATAATCATTTTATGATCATTTTATTTTATTCTGTTGGGTTTTTTTGGTGGTGCTAGGGATTAAACAAAGGGCTTCCTGCATGCTAAGCATGTGCTCTACCACATTTAGTACTTGAAAAATACTTCCATTATTCTACTTATTATAATTACAAGGTTGATGACTATCTGCATCTCCATTTCTGCCACTCCACTTCTGTCATTAAGAGATCCTGGGACACTAGAAGTATCTTTCCTTTTGTCATCAAGTTACCACACCCTGTGATGAGTTGTGGGAATTACTGCACTAACTATTTATCAAGACCTAAAAAATAAGATGTAGGTTGCTCAATGTCTTATCCATTCACAAACTGAACAGATATTTATTGGGCATCTACTAGGTACATAAGTGATCAGTGAACTTAGTTTATTATATAGGAAGATAAAGAACACAGAAAAAAACTATTCCAATAACTTAATTTCAGATACTGATGATGCTAAGAAGTTAATAAAAAGAGGAAGAAATAATAGAATGGGGTAAGAAAGGGAATACTTAACTCAGAAGGTCCAGAAAGCCTCTGAGAGCATCTTCCTCCTCTGAACACCTACTGCCCTTTGTATTTCCTCATGACAACTATCCCCTCATGGAACTGAATATGTCCACTGTTCCTTGCCAGGGCAGTGTCCATCTAATATGTCTCAGGTAGCTCTCCCATCTTGCACCCCCCAAGTCTATAAAATTCTTGCTCTTGACATTTATAGACTAAATGAAAAGCAAATAAACAAGTACATGGAGTGGTAATGGCAGGGTGCCTGGGGGCCTCCCAAGTCTGGCCAGAGCTCTAGCAGGAAGTAGGATCACAACTGGTAGGGCTGTTTCTGAACAACAGGCCCAATGAGAACTAAGATAATGACAGAGAACAAAAAATAATCTTGATGAGATACTGACTGCACACTAACCTGCCTTCAGTTGGCTTTTCATAAGCTGTGTCTGTGTCCCCTCTCCACAGTCAAAGAGCCAGCATTCGCCTTCACACCGAAAGACCACAGCAGAGGCACCCCGAGTAGGGGATGGATATGCTGCACCAGTCCCAAGAAACGTCACATCCATAGACATCTTCCACCCTGCAACAGAAAGTTCACCTGATTATTTCAAGTTACTGTTCCGTGTGATTTACTATTATTTATTTATTTTGGGTGCTGGGGATTGAACCCAGGGCCTTGCACTTGGTAAAGTCGCTCTCTAAGCTACATGCTCAAATCCTATTTGTTTTTTGATTATGAGCCCTCCCTACCCTGAGTGGTGCTGGGGATCAAACTCAGAGCCTCATACATGTTTGGTAAGCACTCTACCACTAAGCTACATCCCAAGCCCTGGTTATAACTCCTAATTGAACTAAAACAAGTCAACAAACCTTATATTGACTGTTTACATATACAAAATTAAACCTAGCTAAAGTAAATCAATTCAAAACTGTAACTAAGAGGCTGGAAGTGTAGCCTACTAGTAGAGTGCTTGCCTAGCATGTATGAGGCCCTGGGTTCAATCCCTAGCACTGAAAACAATCAAACACCACAGCTGAATTTCAACTACATAGCATTTCCAAAGAAAAACTATGGGACAGTAAAAAGATCAGTGCTTGCCAATGCAATGGAATAAGGAGGGAAGGATCAATAAATACAGCACATGGGATTTTTTTAGGACAACAAAGCTATTCTGAATGCTACAGTAAGAATAGACATGTCATTATACATTGGTCACTTGTACACAGAATGTACCACACAAAATAAAGCCAACTTTAGTTAATCATAGTGTGACAATATTGATTTATCAAAGGTAACAAATATGTCATAGTAATGCAAGATATTAATACAAGAGAAACTGAGGGGTAGCGAGAGGGCCTATAGGAATTCTGTAATTTCCATTCATTTTTTTTTTAAAGTTCTAATAAACACTAAACAATAATAATCTAGTTGAGGTTCTGGGTAAGAGGTGGTATTTAATATACTCACAAGCAGTGCTTCTGGTGCCCATGGTGATCAGTCCTTCCTCTGAACTATTATGAACAGTAATGTTCTATATTACTCTACAGTAATGTTGATATTTCATTGTAATGCTGAGCAAATGTCTCACTTCCCTAAGTGACTGGTTATGGGGTTCTGATCTTTTAAGTGATCAATAACCTGTGAATATTTAGATTTCTACCAACTCCTGGCACTATCGCCTTCACTATTTATGGGCATAACTGCCATCTCTGATATATTTCTATTATGGAAGATGTGTGTCAAATAGAATAAATATTGACACTTATACATAACCAAATATAGATTATCCACATTAATCCACATTGTTGGGTGGAGAGGAAAACAAATAATTTTAAGAAAAACTACTACAGTAAGAAAATATGACCAAAAGTATTGATAGCTTTTCTTGGTCCTAGGAATAACCAGATAAAAACAGAAACAGGGGAGGGGGAAAATCCCAGTCATAAGGGCATAAAAAAAAACCAAACCTTATAAATCACCAGAAATAGTTAGCAGGACCAGGACCTAAATGATTCAAATAAATGGAGAAACACACTATGTGCCTTGATAGGAAGACCTGATATTACATAAATGTTCATTTTTTTCAAAATTAATGTGGATGTCTTTAGTGTAGTTTCTATCAGATTTCCAAGAGATTGTCTTAGAACAAAAACAATCCAAAGATCACTTGGAAAAGAATAAATGTCTGAGAATGGGAAACAAAACTGCAAAAAGTAGTGAGGAGTGACTTGCCTTTTCAGATGACACTTATTATGTTAAACAGATATAATAAGAATAATACTGGCATAAAAACACAGGTAAAGGAAATGGAAGTCCAGAAATTAATATGTACAGGAATCAATATGTAACAAAGGCATAAAAGCGTGGTTTACTTATTGAATGGCACCAACAAAATTGGCTATTCTTGCAGAAAAAAGCAAAGTCCCTGTTTTACATTGTATGTAAAATTCCATTCCACATGGGTTAGCAATTCAAACCTTTAAAAATCCAATTTTTTTTTTTTTTTTTTAAATTAGAAAAGGGCTGAGGGTATAGCTCAATGGTAGAGCACTTGCCTAGCGTGTGTATAAGACCCTGGGTTTGATCCCCAGCACTTGGGGGAGAAAAAAAAACAGAACAAGAGAATATATGTATATAACTTTGGGGATGGGAAAGCCCTTTATTATCAAGACAAGAAGCCAAAAAATTTAAGGAAAGATATTTTCACTGTATTTTTAAAAATATTTTTTAGATGTAGATGGACACAATATCTTTATTTTATCTATTTATTTTTATGTAGTGCTGAGGATCTAACCCAGGACCTTACATGTGCTAGGCAAGTGCTCTACCACTGAGCCACAACCCCAGCTCTTTCATTGCATTTTATATCATTTTATAACTTTATATATGAAAAGACTCAAAAAGTCAAAGGAAAAATAATGGCTGGAAAATTGGTTTGCATATCTTATGACAAGGGATTAATGTCCCTTTAAAGAGTTTATACAAATGGATTTTTTTAAAAAAAATACTGACCCAAAAGAAAAAACGGTACAAATGGATTTTTTAAAAAAAATACTGACCCAAAAGAAAAAATGGTAAAGGACATATCCCAAAAGAAATTCAAATGGCCAATAAGCATGAAAAATGCTCAGTCTCTAGGTAGGTAGTAGGAATTCAAATTAAAGAAATAAAGAGACACCATTTTCCACATAGAAGCTGGCAGATATCAAGGAAGCAATGCTGGCCTTGATATCCATTATCCAGGATGAAGTGAGATGGACAAATGGGTGCTCTCAGGAGCTACTGACGGTGGAGGTGTAAATTGCAATTAAGACTTGGGCGAACGATGGGAGAATACATATTATCAATAATAATGTTGCTGTTGATAACAAACCAGGTATCTCATTTCTACCCTACAAAAATAAAGGATCTACATACAAAAAAAAAAAAAAATGTTTATTTACTGTGGTGCTTTTAGGTGGCTAAAATAGGAAGGCAATCTAAATATATGCCATTATGGAAATGGTTTTATTAATATTCCTAGTAATATATGATTAACTATTTATTCCATAGCTAATAAAAACTCAGGTCTGAAACTATCATCCTAGAAGGGTAAGAATGATAAAAGTTAAAGTTATGGTATAATCTCATTTTTGTAATATATTCTCCAAACCCTTATATTTATGTAAGACAGAAAGTCTGGTATGGAAGGATACACATATACTGGTTATCTCCAGGGTGATTAGAATGCTGGGGCAGAGAAAGGAGATATTAATTTTCAAATCTTTGGATTGTTTTCAGTTACAACTGACAGTATTTTATTTTTATTTTGTATTTAATTGTGATTCTATTTTTAAAATGGTTAATACAGCCAAACATACTTTTCTAAGTAGACAGCATCTTGTTTTCCTTTCATTTTAGGAAACAGTCAGCTCTCTACTCCCTTTACCCTTTACACACAAGGCAGCACATTTTATCTCGGACCAAAGCCTTGAGGTTAGTGCTAGTGGCCGTCTGTATGTTCCACGTCTTCACCTCCAAGATTAAGCCTCAATCTAACAGTTAAGCAGCTTCCCTACTGGACTGCAGATTGTAAAAGGTGAGAATAAACACAAAGTTAAAACTTTTTACAGTTAATAAAATGCAGAAGGAATAACAGAATATAGTCACTTTGCAATCCCTAACAAACAATGCACCTAGATCAGTGGTATGGAAAACTGAGAGCATATCAGAATCACCTGGAGAGCTTTTAAAACATATTAATGATTAGGCTCCATCTTAGAACAATTTAACAGTAAATTCTGTGAGACATGTGTTTTGATATTTTTAAAAAGGGGCAGGGATATTCTTCCCCTGTAATTCTAACAGAGTTAGATTTATTAACAACTTAGAAATAAGGACAAAGGAGAACTATAATTAATTGATCATGCTGACCTAAACTCATTAGTTAATCTTTAATTTAAAAAAAACATTTTATTAAGAAAAATTATCCCAGCAATTTGGAAGGCTGAAGCAGGAGAATCACAAGCTCAAGGCCAACCTCAACAACTTAGCAATACCCTCAGCAACTTAGCAAGACCCTGTCTTAAAATAAAAAAATAAAATAAAATGGATGTAGCTCAGTGGTAAAGTGCCCCTGGATTCAATCCCCAGAACTAAAAATGAGAAAAGAAAAATGCAAACACATATGGAAATATATCAGCATAATGAATGCACTGCCACATTTCCATCACTGAGCCTCAGCGATTATCAATTTATAGGCAATCTTGATTCATCTATTCCTCCACCCTACCCCCACTGCTCCAAGAACACTTGATAATTGGTATGAGGTACTTTCATTTGGCTGTCTTTCTGACATCAACATCGGATCCATCATTTCATTAGGAGTTGCCAAAAGGTGTTATTATTCTCTTATTCCTTCTGCAGTTATTAGCTGGTATCCTTCTATAAATCCCTGTTCAATTAACTAGTTATCCTGCAGTGTAATTTGTACATAAAAGGTCTACAAAGAGACGAGATATTATCTAACCCCTGATGATGCAATATGAAATATAGTCAGCAGCCTTCATGAGGTTTTCTTGCCAAAAAAATAGAATCAAAACCTGAAAAAGCCTGTAGGTCTAAATACCAGTTTATTAAAGGAAACCACAGGGATGGGGAAAGCAACATGCAGGCTGCAAGAAACTTTACAGGACAAATGACATAGTCTTTTTCTACAAGTGAAAAACAAGGAAAAAAATAAAAAAGATTAAATGAGATCTTAGAGACATCAATCAAATGTAAAGTGTGTAGCTTGTCTGGATCCTAATTTGGACAGACTGGTAAGGGGAGAGTCAGGGAAGAGACAATCGGGGAAATGTCAACACTGGATAGATGATAATATGAAATACTAATATGACTGATAATGGCTTTATGTTTAAAAACAGAGTTACTGTGTTTCATTATTTAACCGATGGAATGATACATTTCAAATTTGCTTTAAATAGTACAGTGGAGGTAAGAGATGAAACAAGATTGATCATGAGTTAGGAGTTGAATATATTATTCTATTTTCATGTATGTTTGGAAGTTTCCATAACAAAAAGTTTAAAAACAAACCAAATAATCAAAACCCTCCCACTAGGTCAGAAAGCAATTAGAAATTCATGTAATCAATGATGCATGTTCTGTGACATGCGCCATTCCAGGTACCAGGAATTAAAAGCGGCCAAACCAGATTAGGTCCCCGTCTTCTTGGACAAAAAAAAAAAAAAAAACACAACAACAACAACAAAAAAAAAACTAAACAGATGTTGGCCTTGTCAAGACTGTGATCCACCCTCGACGAAGTGTACATTCTGGTGGTGACCACAGTTGTCACTCTGGGCCCGCGTTTCCCGGTCCCGGCTGCAGATCACAATCCCTGGAGACGATGGGGCTCACACTGGGAAGGCTTCCCAAGTGATTCTACTGGCTGCCCAGTGGAGAACCAGCGCTCCCTAGTTTCCAGACAGTCACTGTCACCCCTGCAATCACCAAGTGGTGTAGGTAGGGCAGATACTGCCGTCCTCCATCTTAAAGCTGGAGAACTGTGGCTCTGAGGGAGAGTGAGTGGCCAAGCAGAGGCCAGGCCTCCGGCCACCAGCGAGCCCAGGCTCCCCTACCAGACCGCGTCAGTTTCGCAAAAGGCGGGCCGGGCGGCGGTAGCAGCGCCAGGCAGCCGAGGCTCCGGCGGGGATAGTGACGAAGCGCGTCCTCGCTACCGGGGCCCGGCTCCTCTGCACCAGACTGGGCCAGGCCGAGCCGAGCCGAGCCCGCGAGTCCCGAGGAAGCGCGCCCGCCCTGCTCCATTGCACCCTACCACACTCACCCTCTCCCCGAGGCCCGCGCAAGAGCCGAGGGAGGTGCAGGCCCGTTCCGAGGCCCAGCAGTCCGCGGGGCAGCGACGCGTGCGGGCGGAAGTGCGCCGCCGACAGGGTCCCACGCGGCCGCTCTAGGGCGCGCGGGAGGTCCGCGCTCGATGGCGCCCACCCGGGGCCAAGCTCCTAGAGCTTCCTAGCTCCTGGCGGGGTCGCCGGCCAAATGCCAGCAGGTGCCCGCCTTCTGTCAAGGTCGCTATAAAATGGTGGCCGTGACGCATGAAGGCCAAAACGACTGCATCAAAATTGAAAATGTTTATTCTGGTTTTTGCTTTCTTTTGTTTCCCGTGTCATGTTTTTCAGACAAGAATGTGCTTCCTGATGTTTTGCCCAAGCATGTGTTTGTGTAATTTTGTCTTTGGTTGGGACAAATCTTTCAACACTAAACCTGAAAGTTTAAGCTTGTAATTACCTCAAGAAAACTCAGGGACCTTTGAACCAGAGTTCATTATCAGAATGATCATGTACCTTTATTCCGACGTTAAACCTTAGCATTTGCTTAGAATCTGAAGCTGGTTGTGTGTATTTGCCCCACGCCTTGCAGACATTTCTCTTGTCATGCGGGAGTAAAAAGCCAGAGTCCCATGCGGGAGTAAAAAGCCAGAGTCCGCAATGTATAGAATGGTCACATAGTGATTACAAACCACAGAGAAAAAAAGTAATAGGAGTGGGGTTTTTAAAAATTGTAGAGCTTTTGGAAACTACCAGAAGAGAGACATCAAGAACCCCCATTTTCCGATCTCCACTTCATTCAGAAACCAGCTCCCCCGTAATTTCAGTGGCTGGGGAGGCTGAGACAAGAGGATGGATTTCAAAGCCAATTTCAGCAACTTAGCGAGTCCATAAGCAACTCAGTGAGATCCTGTCTCTAAATAACATACAAAAGAGGGGAGGGGGACCTGGGATGTGGCTCTGTGGTTGAGTGCCCCTGGATTCTATCTTCCATACCAACACACAAAACATTGATCAGTCTACTTTTTGGACTTTTGGAAGATTTATTTATTCATGTATTAATGAAGTTCCAAATCTGTGGTTTGTATTAATTTTGGTGCTGAGGGAATTTTTAAGATGCCTTGGCAAGCAATAACAATATGAGGAACAAATAAAAAAGCAAAGGAGTGGTTAAGATTATATGAAAGTGGCAGGTGGATGGGAAACCCAAAGACTAGGGAGGCTGAGGCAGGAAGATAGTAAGTTAGAGACCACCTTCAGCAATTTAGTGATACCCTGTCTCAAAATAAAAAATACAAAGGGTTGGGGATGTAGCCAAGGTTAAATTACTGTATAGGAAATAAAGAAAGAAGGAAGGGAGGGAGGGAGGGAATATGGGAATGGGCTTGGGTGTAACTCAGTGGTAGAATACTTGCCCAGTATGTGAGAGGTTCTGGATTCAGCCCTCATCACTAGCACGTGGGAACACACACGCAAAAACGAAAGACAGGGAAAAGGGAGATCACTATCCAGGAAGAGGAAGGAATTGAGCTGGATAGAGTAGGAAAAGACAAAGAGCCTAGGACACTGGCACATGCCTATAAATCCCACTGGCTCTGGAGACTGACAGGTGGATCTCAAGTTCAAGGCCAGCTTCAACAACTTAGACAGGCCCTAAGCAATTTAGGAGACCCTGTCTCTAAGTAAAAATATGAAACAACGGCTAGGGATGTGGCTTAGTGGTTCAGTACCTGTAGGTTCAATACCCCCCACCCCCCACCCTGGTCTTCTGCATATGATATATAGTGGTCTTCTACATATTGCCTCTTCCACAGAAGTAACAGACTTGGAATTAAGGGGGAAGGACACTGCCAATGATTATAAATTAGTAGAAGGTAGTGGGCAAGTTCAGAGTCAACAAAGTGCTAACTTAACTATATTTTCCTTTTTTAAGTTATATTCAGAAAACATTTGTTGACTGTCTGATTATGTGAAACCAGTGCTTTCTATACCTATGTAGAGAAAGAGTCCTGAACGTGGTGAGAAAGACATTTTGAGACTACAAAATAAGACTTGACCCCCACTTCTCCTGCCACAGGAGGCGCCATGTGAATGTGATGATGGGTTTCAGAGCACAGCACTTTAGGCTGGTAGTAAGTTACACTCCTAGGAGTCAGAGATTAGAGAGGCATATTCTCATGGTTGCTTACTTTGCAGTGACTTAAGTGTAATTTTAACTGTGTGTGTGTGTGTGTGTGTTGCTGAGGACTGAAACCAGGGGCATTGTACTACTGAGTGACATCTCCAGCTTTTTTTATTGTTTTGAGACAGGGTTTCACTAAGTTGCTGAGGTCTTGAATTTATGATACACCTGCCTCAGTTTTCTGAGTCACTGGGACTACAGGCATGTGCCACCACATCTGATCTTTATGTATAATTTTTAGACCAGCTTGAGAAAGAAAATTATTTGTGTTCAAAGTTGCCTTCCAGTTGAGACCCAGAGCAGATGGTACTTAAGATCCACACTGTTTAGTGTTCATGAACTGAGCCACCATTCTTACTGTTTCTGTTAGTACTTTGACAGGCAGTGGAAGGTTTTTATTGGTCTACCTACTTCAGCTAGAATAATGAGTTAAATAATGAGCTAAAAGTGACCCTGCAAAGTGACCTATAGCCTCAAGGTATCTTAAGGATGGGGGCTATCACAGGAAAGACCAAGGCAGGATTAGAGGGTTAGGACATTGAGTTCCACCCCTGAATGCTGGAGATAGGAGAGCTGAAGGTTGGGTTTATCACCAAGTTGGGTATTTATTACTTATTGCAGCAGAGGAGGATACAGGCCATGGGGAAACGTGGGGCATCTCTGTAAGTGGGTGTTAGAAAATACTTTTGTAGGATTTGGATTTGTTTGGTTTAGTGATTTTGCAGAGGGGCCATGGAATTTGACATTTATTTTGGAACGCACTAGTGGGTGAGTAGGAACAATTCTATGACTGGTAAATCTTTAGTGATATTTATCACATTCAATAAACTACAGAGAGTACTAACTAGAGTGAGGCTAGAACTATAATTGATAAAAATCAGCAGTCAATCATACTAGTCAGGATTCTGGGGATGCTGTTTACTTTTGTGGTTTGGACAGCATCCATATTTTATCTATAGATGTGGATTGCAGAGTGGCTATTTAAAAAAAAATACATTTATTTATTTATTTTTATGTAGTGCTTAGAATCGTACCCAGTGCCTCACACGTACTAGGCAAGCGCTCTACCTCTGAGCCACAACCCCACCCCAGAGTGGCCATTTTTATCTGAACCCATTTGGTCACAATAGCCTGAGGTTGGTGTTCTGTGAGATGGTTCACTCAACAGGACACCAAGGCCCAGCCAAGTCTCAAGCTGGCTTTCATCACCAGTGAGGGCGGCTGGTGCTGTCAGGGTTGTAGCCTTTCACTCTATCAAGGCAGCTGGGCCAGTGCGGGTGGGAGAGCCTGAGTTCTCTTCTGATGATTCTGTTTTCTGGAGATTGGAAACAAGGCATCTGCTGAGCTTGAGGTTGCAGAAGAAATGTTAGAGATTTGACAGCAAAGATTTCAGATTCACCTGACAGGAAAATGCCAGGAAACAAACAGAGTAGGAAGTTGAACATAAGGAAATAAAGAGAAAAGATGAGGAGCACAAGGAATACTTCATGTCTGAATTTAAGTCTCATAATAAATTCCCAGGTCAAGTGTGCATTTGTTTTAAGGGGATAATGCCAAGTTTTTAAAAATTCCTCTACATAGTAGTCTTTAAAAAATGAGGTCATCAAGCATGTTTTATGCATAGGAAAATTTTACTAAGAAAATATAAGAGCATACATCTCATTACCAGTAATATATCACAAAAAGAGAAAAATAATTCACATAACTATGATGTTTTTAGACTGATTCTTGGAACCATCTGTAAGAAAATCTGGTATGTCTGTATGAGAGGCATTCCTCTTAAACTACTATTCCCACAATTACCACAAGACTAGTTGTTCTATCATTTTATCTTAAACACAAAAGTGAGAAAGGCCAAGCAATGAGTTGCAAAGTGTGGCTTCCTTGAAGTCAATGATTAATGCTTGCGATGTTATCAAAGGGAAGAGAAAATACTATCAATTGCAAAAATATGTTTTTAATTTCAGTTGATTTTAAAGCTCCTTGAAATACAATAAAACATTGGGCAGAAATTTTGTCAAATATTTACCTAAAATAGTTCTCTAGAAGTTTCTTATTTCACACACAAATTTACTTTTACTACTTTCTGACTGTTCTTACCTTTTTAACAGAAGTTATATATGCAAATAGCACAACAGATACCATTTAGAATACACCTTACAATGCAGATGTACATTGATGTGTAGATTAACAAACTGAATAGTACAATATATAAGTGCATTTCAAATTGATTTGCACAGAAGTTATAGTGGTTGGCAATTCTATGACTACTACTAAAATAAAAGGCATTAGTCAACTATTAAAATCTTTAGTGATATTTATCACATTCAAAACCAAATCCTTACACATCCAATACTTAAAATTTAAAGATTAACAAGTAAGAGGTTTACATTGTATTTAAATTATAAATGGGAACAAAGAAAAATCAAGTGAAGTGGTAAAATGCACTAAGGAGGACTTAAGAATTTTTTCCTGAAACTTCTTTTTCTTCCCCTTTTGGTACCAGGGATTGAACCCAGGAGTGCTTGACCACTAAGCCACATCCCCAGCCCTTTTTATTTTTTAAGATAGGGTCTCACTAAGTTGCTGAACTGGTCTTGAATTCCCAATCCTCCTGCCTCAGCCTCCCAAGCTGCTGGGATTATAGGAGTGAGCTGTCACACCCAGCTAAACTGAAACAATTCTTGAAGATTCAGATAAAATCACCTATAGAGGGCTTTCTTTCCTAAGATGGGTATGAACTAAGAGTCCCAGCTTTGCCACTCATCATGAGATATTCTGTAAGTCATTCAACCTTTCTGTGCCCCTCTCCTTGTCTATGAAACAGGGATAGAAACAGGTTTATTGTGGATTAAATATACAAGATGCTTGGAACACTTAACTTCTGAACAGTGTAGGCACCACCCATACAATCTAGTTGGTTATAACTTGCTAACTGTATGCCAAATGTGTTGGTGATAATTCATCAACTATATAGGAATCAATGATTTGCAAGAACATAGACTTAAAGTTAGGAAAGGGAAAATAATTTTTCTGGAACATAAAAGGAAATCTGAAAACCGAGGAATATATAACCATACATTTTCTTTACTTATTATTTGATACTGGGGATTGAATCCAGGGGCACTTAACTGAGCTACATCCTCAGCTCTTTTGAGATACGGTCTTGCTAAATTGCGGAGAGTCTCATTAAGTTGCTGAGGCTGGCCTCAAAGTCACCATCCTTCCAAAGCTTTCCAAATTGCTGGGAGTACAATTGTGTGCCACCATGTCTGTTTTTCTTTTAGTCTTAAAACTTACAGTACACTGAATGTAGAAATAAAACTTTGCTTGGAAAACAAAAAGAAAGCCAAGACTTAACAGCCATGTGAAAATGTTGTTTACCCAAAGATACCATACATTCAAGTCATTTGACTCAATGTGTATATTGTGTGCAATAAAACTATGAAAATGTTTCCATATTTACTTTTCTCTTTGGGTGGCACAGTTTTCCTTATTTAAGAAAGAAAAATAATGCCTCAAAATCTAGCACTACTTAAACTCTCAGTAAGAATTAGTGAATTAGCAGTTTAAGAGTCATGTCTTACTTGAACCTACCTGAATGTACTAAAATTTGAAAATAAAGGATTAGGTTTTATTTCTGCTCTCTGCTTACATTAAAATCTCTCTCAATTTCAAGTGAGGAGAAAGTTTTCTATAGCTAAATTATCTTGAATATTTTAAATATTTAATCTTACTTTATTTCATCTGCAGTTTAACACTTACATGCTAAAGTGCAAATCACAGAGAATCAGAGACCATGAATCTGTGCAATGTTCTACAGCAAGCAATATGCCTGCAGCTGTACCCACGTGGTCATCTTGGATGAAAATATGGTATTGGGGTTATTTCATTCTTTAGGACTTCCTTTAAATGGATCCCAGTGGAGAGTTTTGAGACTTGTATTATTGTTCTCAATATTACATATGCCCAATAAAGCTGATTTTATTTTGGTGAGTCCAACAGAACACTGAAGATATTTGTGAAAAAAAAGTTATCCTTAAGGGAGTCACTGAATGAGCCGGAGGAAAAAATCTTACAGTGGCACATGTCTATAATTTCAGCTATCTTGGGAGGCAGAGGCAGGAGGATTGCACAAGTTCTAGGCCAGCTTGGGCAACTTAACTTAGCAAGACCCTATCTCAAAATACATTAAAAAGGGCTGTGAATGTAGCTCAGTGGTAGAGAGCTTGCCTAATATGTGCAAGGCCCTGTATTTAATCTTCAATACTGGGAGGTGGGGGAGCCACAGGAGCACCTGGATGCCACCCCAATCCTTAGCCCCATTCTCTTTAGGTCTTCTGTTATCTGGGAACAATGGTTAATGCTCCATACTTATAACATTGTATTTCAGTCTTAATTCATTCATCACTCTTTTGCAGAAAATGAAAATACTATTTCTCCAGAGGCTGATAATTTAGAGAAGACAAAGTACAAGGTAAGTTCTATCATTAGGGAATGAATAATCAAATTAAAAAACCTCACAAATATCCATTTGTTAGCTAATCTTTTATAAGTGAAATTTGGTTGCTAGGTTTCACTTAAGTATGCTACAAATCCAGAATTTAAAATCACACAGTATTCTAGTTTTTATGTATTCTCAGGAAAAAAACTATTTAAAGAGTTCTATATTAATTTTTCTTATAAAAACTCTGATAACTAAATATAACAAAACTAATGACAGCTACTCCATGTAAGAGTTTCAGTTGATCTTTTTCATATATATAGAAGCACATAGTATATAAACACTAGGCTGAAACAGCACACCACTTGCAATACTGTGGAGCAACGCCTGTTTTCTTTAACAGCAACACAGGTGGTACCTGGAAGCTCATCAGAAATGCAAACTCTCAGGCCTCAACCAGGACCTGCATCAGCGTCAGTCCTCAGCATTGGTTAGCTCTCCAGATGATTCCGATATCTGCTTTAAGGCAGTTGTAAGGGCAAGTATATGTCTGTGTCAGAACCACCTTCAAGAACTTGCTCAAACTATAGCTGCTAGGGGTCTGCCCCTAGTGGCCTGGGGCAGGGCCAGGGGCAGGAATGGAGGGAGTTGGGGCAGAGGCATCTCTTATTTTATTGTTTAGTACTGTGGATTGAAGCCAGAAGTAGTCTACCACTGAGCTACATTCCCAGCTCCCCCATTTTATGAGACAAGATTACTATTGTAGAATGAACATTTAAAAGTTTTGCTTCTTGCAGCACATAAGGCAGACAGATACTATAGCTATACCACCATATTTTAAGATGCTTCTGGATCTTCCATTAAAAATCTCTAATATGTAAGCTACACAAGAAACTGGTCTCTTTAGCCAGTTATTATCTATTTTACTGGGATTAAAAATGGCATCTCCTGGTCTGAACACCTTCCTTATTCATCCCTACTTAGCTTTGAAAAGTAATAAATTCACCTTTAATAGAGAAAGAGTTGTCACCACTAACAACATTCAAGGGAATGCATTGTAGGAGAATCCCAAAACTATTTTGAGTAATAAAGAACCTCAGTTGCATAGGGTATAGTTCCTCCAGTCAAATACAGCTCATTCAGATGTAAACCACTACTGATTTATTTTAAAAAGTACATGAGATTAGCTGTAATGTATGCTTTAGGCATCCTATATGCCCTCAACTAGAAATTAAAAAACAAAAAAAAAAAACAATGTATTTTCATTATAAGCAAACCTACATTTCTAGTTGGGCAATAAGGTAGCATAACTGAAGCAATTAAGTTTAAGACATTACTTTATTAAATAAAAATCATTTTTACACACTGTTGCAAAAGACTGCTTTGTCTAAAGGCAATAATAGTTCCCATAACTCTCTCCTAATGTTATAGTTAAACCTTGATTAGTTCCAGAAAATAAGAAAAAGGGAAAAAATTTTATTTCCCTAGATCTGTGTATTATAAAAGAATTTCAGAGCATAAGGTAAAATGAAGCAGATAAAGTTTTACATACTGACAATTTTCTTTGAATTTTGTTTAAAATTTGGCTGCTTTGCAAAATTTGCCCTCATATCCACAGAAATAAACTTCTATTTTTGTAGAACTAACCGGATGATGGAAGATTGTTACCTATAACAGTAAATAACAAATACTTTGGCAAGCAGGACCAAAAATACAAGTGAAGACATCCATAGACACATTTTAAACATCTCTTGGGTGTTGTATGGCTACAAATAAGGACATTAAGCATTATGGTTGATTGTAGGGTATTGGTGGACCTTAATACAGTCAACACATCCACCTCCAACAGACATGGACATACATGGGATAAGTCAAGTAAAGTAGTGGGGGAAGAAAAAAAATACAGAAACACCATAAATCTGATAACATCTCTCAAAAAAGGAGCTTCCCTGAAGCATGGGAAATATTTATTGGTGTGAGTGCTTCTATTCTGTTATCTGGGGAGGTCTTGATGCAGATTCTGGCCATTCATACATATCGGGCAGCAAGGAATCATATTCACTTCGCCATATTCTTTCTTTAATATACTTGGTCTTGTCTTCAGGTTCTGGGTATCGGAAAGCCATTTTATTAGCATATAGGTATTCTGTAACCTGAAAAACAAAGAAGATTATTGTATAGGCTCTCATAGAAAATATTACAACACAAGAAATAAATTTAGAAGAATAGTATTTCTTCTTTTTAAGAATTAAAAAAAATTACTTTGACTTACTTCAAAACATTCAGAAACTATTCAAAGTTTAAAAGACAAATAAACCAGATGTGGTGGTACACACCTGTAATCCCAACAACTCCAGGGACTGAGGCAGGAGGTTCCCAAGTTCAAGGCCAGCCCTAGCAACTTAACAAAGCCCTAATAAATTTAGTGAGACCCTTTCTTAAAATAAAAAAATTAAAAGGACTAGGGGTGTGGTGCAGTGGTAAAATGTCCCTGGGTTCAATCTTCAGTGCCAAAAAAAAGAAAAAAAAAGACTTGTCATCTTACAATGTATTTATAAAGTGTTTTAATTACGGCCCTGACCAAGAATTATTATAGCACTTCCCTAATAGTGCAGTCAAAAAAAAAAATTATCACTTCAGTAGACACACCTGGGTGATCTGTCCAGCGCATCACTCCCCACAGCCCTACTGAAAGAGCAAGCTTAGGAACGCCAGATGTGTAGGACTTTACTTCCTAGTCATAGCTGACTTGACACAGGTGAAAACCTAATACAAAGCAAGTCAGATGTCTTTGTTTTAGAATATGGATTGAGTCACAGATATAATAATCAGGTGTTCAATACCAAAAATAAAGTGCAATGAATGGATTTCTGATCTCTGAAACCAAGCTAAGTACCATAGTAAGCGGTGAGGATAAACCCTCTAGCTTTAGTCTGATAAAATGAGGAATGTAAAAAGCTTCCTCACAGGGAGCTTGCCATCCAGTTATCACGTTATGGTTTCATTTCAAATTTTAAAAGCATTGTGACACATGGTAAAATAAATACAAACTTCCTTCTCCTCCTCTAATTCCCATTCCAAATTGTGACCACTATTCATATTTCTTATATCAGTTTTTCTAAAAGAAAAGTTTAAGAAAATGGTCAATAAAAATAATCTATGAAGTCAGGTATGATGGTGCACACCTATAATCCCAGCAACTCAGGAGGCTGAAGCAAAAAAAATCTTGCATTTAAGGCTAGATTTAGCAAGACCCTGTCTCAAGATAAAAAATAAAAGAACTGGTAATATAGTGCAGTGTTAAAGTGCCCATGGGTTCAACCCCAAGTACCAAAAAAAAAAAAAAAAAAAAAAAACCTCTGGTTATAAGAGCTCAATCTCTAATGTTATATTATGTAATGGAAAATGTGCTCATGTGCTCTGTCTATTGCCCAAACTGTCCTCAAGTTTTTATTAAAAAAAGGAAAAAAGTTTTCTGCTTCTAGGAAGAGAAAACAAAACATACTTTCCCCCTATCCCGCCCGCAAAGTACAACCAAAAATGCTTGACACTGAACATGAAACAACCGTTAAGACAACTCTAAGAGGAGGAGAGAAAAGGCAGGCCAGCAAGGAGCCTAGAGACATGAGGAACAACACAGTGGCTTCATGTATCCCAGATTTTTAGATGAAAAAGCCAGCAGCCCTCATACACCAAGAGATGCAGACAAAAAACACCTCAACAAATGGCTGCTTTCTCTAGCTGAAGGACCAGAAGGCCAGCTTAACAGACAGAAAACTTTCAGTCAATAGCCATTCTACTCCAGTCAAACACCACAGAAAAAAATTTTGGTCCCAGCCTACCTCTGCTAACAAAAGGTGAGTGAGGAGTTTAGACTTCCATCAAGGCTATAATGCGGTACCACAGGAGCCCTACCAGGGTAGTGTCAGAGCCAGGACTTTTATCCCCACTGGTCAGCAAGAAGGACCTTATCTCCTCGTCACCCTGCTGCCCACACTGTCAGTGGAGACCATGTGGAAAACTTCTATCCTTAATCAGTCACCTCCCCGGTGCCAGGCCACTGGATGGTATCAGAGAAGGACTACAGAACACTTGGGACCTTGTTCATTGTCCTGTGGTAATGAGGTCACCAAAGTGCAGTGTCAGGACAGAGTATTACTGATGGGGAGGCTCCCCTCTCAGGAGTCAACAGAGGAAGTGGGAAACCTGCAGTGAAATGAAGCACATACCCCAAAGCAGTATAAGAGAAAGTCATTTAAAAAGAAGATTTAAGAAATATTTAGACTCTAGGTCTCAATTAAAAGAAAAAAAGAAACAAAAAACTAAAAAGTACTTATCATACCAAGAATCAGGAACATATCAAACTAGGAAAAAGAGTCAGTAGATGTTAAAACCAAGATGGCAGAGATGTTAAAATTATCTGACAAAGATTTTGAAGTAGCCATGATAAAAATGCCTCAGAGGAGCCAGAGCCAAGGTGGAAAGCTGCAGGCGCTGGGAGGGCAGGGATGGGGTGGCTGGAGTTAAAGGCCAAGTGTGGGAATGTTTATTGAAAAGAATGTGCTGGGAGAACCCAGCCCTCACACCTCGGGGATTTCGGAACTGGCCGTCTGCAGTGGAGAGCCCTGCCAGATGAGTTCAGCCGTTCCCACTTCATAAAGTTCCTGGTGCAAAAATGAATGGCAAACCCAGCCGTGAATGTGACTTCTTAAAGAAGATTATTGAAACAAATGGTCCTGCTTTTTCAAATCTGCCCTGGTGGTCAGGAGGAGGAAAGTAGGGAGGAAAACTCCCTGGTCACTTGCAAACATCCCTGTCCAGCTTCAGAAGACACTAGTGTCTAATGGCACCACAAGAAAACGTGTGTTGTTAGATTTCTCCCCTGAACGGAAGATTCTGGATCTGGTTGCCAGCAGATATTGCAAGAGTGTCAGGGATCGTGAAAGGGAAGAATCATGTTTCTGACCCCAAAATAACACGACCCCAGACTGTCCCTGGGCTGTAGAACTTCAAGGCACATGTTAGATAGGCAGCTCGAGGAAGAGACACACTGATTACATATCTCATGGGCTGTCACTCTCTTCACTTTATAACATCACATATGTCATGGTGATTTTTCGGATTACTCTCAACCTAGATACCCTAGATATTCAGATCTCGTTTCCCCAGTGACTCTGCTGGCATCTTCCCTTGGAACTAGTTTTACTTCCTCACTTGCTGTTGGCATCACTTCTCAGATCTTTGCCATGGTATCTGGGTGCCTCCCAAACCCCCAAGTCTACAGAAGCTTTTCCTAGACTGCAGAGTCCTTGGGCCTTTATATCTCCTGATCACTCAAAATGACATCAAACCTCACAAGATTGTCTGGCCTTGCTGCTTCTGGATCTACTATCCGGCCCAGCTTTTACCCCTTGATCTTTTCACTGTGTTCAAGGCCAGGGCAGGTGAGATCATTCCAGTTGCTCTTTCATGCTTAAGGGACTTGATAAATGAAGTTGGGTCCTGGCAAGCAATACATTTGAGCAGAGTACAGTGGCCATCTGTGGACCAGTCCCTTATCCCTTTTTAAAAGTACATAGTCAAAAAAAAAAAAGCCTCAGAAAGCAATGTTACACATGCTTGACACAAATGAAATTAGAGCCTCAGCAAACAAAATAGAAACTTGCAGTAAATTAAAAAGAGATATAAGGACTCATATGAAAATTTCAGTTCTAAAAATATGTGAATAACTGAAATAGAAAATTTAATAGATTAGGGCTGGCGTTGTGGCTCAGTGGTAGCGCGCTCGCCTAGCAAGTGCGAGGCCCTGGGTTTGATCCTCAGCACCACATAAAAACAAATAAAGGTATTGTGTCCAACTACAATTAAAAAAAATATATATATTAAAAAAAAGAAAAGAAAATTTAGTAGATTAGATTCACAGCTGAATGAGGGGAACAGAGGAAAGAAATCAGTGACTAGAAGATAGAAAAACAGAAATTATTCAATTGGGAAAACAAACTTGGAACAAACAAATCCTCAAAAGCAAAACAGCATGCCACAGACCTATGTAACAAAAGATCTAAAATGCAAATTATCAGAGTCTGGGAAAAAGAGAAAAGGGTTGAGCACTGCTGATAAATATTCAAATAATGACTGAAACCTCCCAAATTTGGCAATAAGTATAAACTACAGATTCAAAAAGCAAATTCCAAATATGCCAAAGGAATCCACACTAAGAAGCATCATAATTAAATTTCCAAAAAATAAAGACAAAGAAAAATTCTCTTTTTTTGTACCAGAAATTGAATTCAGGGGCACTTAACCACTGAGTCACATTCCCAGCCCTTTTTATTTTTTATTTTGAGACAGGTACTTAATAAGTTGCTTAAGTCCTTGCTCAATTGCTGAGGCTGGCTGTGAACTCATGATCCTATTGCTTCAGCCTCCCAAGCTGCTGGGATTACAGGCATGTGTGACCGAGCCCAGAATGACAGTGGGTTTCTCAACAGAAAACATAATGGCAGAGGGAAGTAGTAAATTCTTCGAGTGCTAAAAGAAAAGAATTGCTAATCTAGAACACTATACCTACTAAAAATATCTTCTAGAAATGACAGGGAAATCAAGACATTCTCAGAGTGAGGAAAACTAAGAATATAAGGATGACTAAAAGAATTTCTCTAGCTTGGCATGGTGGTGCACACTTATAATCCCGGCAATTTAGGAGGCTGAGGCAGGAGGATCGTAAATTCAAAGCCAACCTCAGCAACTAAGGGTGGGGATGTGGCTCAATGGTTTAAATGCCCCTGGGTTCTATGCTAGTACCAAAAAAGAATTTATCTAAACACAAAGGGCATGACGGAGAAGAAACACTTCGAAACATCAGGAAGGAAGAAAGTATGGTGAACAAAAATAAGGGTAAATTCAGCCTGGCAATAGTAGCAGAATGTAATTGTTAAGTATGTAATACTATAGTAACCACCACAAAGCTATACAAAGAGATTGGCTAAGAAAATTCTATAATGGTTGGGCTGGGGTTGTGGCTCAGTGGTAGAGTGCTGGCCTAGCATGTGTGAGCACTGGGTTTGATTCTCAGCACCACATAAGCAAATAAATAAATAAATGCCTATCAATAACTTAAAAAAAAAAAAAAGACACGTAACCCTAAGTGTGTATGTACCCAACAAGAGATGCATAATATGTGAAGCAGGAAGGAAACAAAAAAAGAACTGGAGAAATAAATCCACAACTATAATTAGGAGTAAAACATCTCTCTTTCAATGATTTTCAGAACTACTACACCAGAAAATCATCAAAGATACAGAATACCAATATCACTATCAACTAGTTAAGAATCAACTAGTTAAGATCTAATTGAAATTTGTACAATATGCCATCCAATAATAGCAAAATACATATATACCCATCCTAAATGTAGGCACTAAACAAAAAAAATACTAGAACCAAACAAACTCAGAACTACAGCTAGTCAGAGCCATGATAGCTTAAAATACATTGTCTGGTTCTGCCCATAAGTGGCTTGCCACTGCCCTCAGAATGAATTCCAGATTTATTGATGTGATTACAAAGATTCCCCCCAACCTTGCCTCCTCCTCTTTTTCATTTCAAAATTCTCTCCTTTTTTGTGTCCATTTTCTAGACACATGAGACTTTTTCCAGGATCACATATATTCCACATTCTTTTTTGCCTTTGAATCTTTGTATATACAAGTCCCTCTGCAGTAACCTCTTGTTTCCTAATCTGGGTAATTCCTCAGTCCTATGATATATGAGATACTAACAGGACATCCATCAGTATATTAGCTCCCAGTTAACTCAAAGTAGAATGAAGATCTCCATGTCATTGATATTCAAAAGTTCTTGGACCATTAGCATAGCATTACCAAGAAACTTGCTGGAAATGCAAATTCGTGGACTCCATCCCAGACCTACAGAACCTCTCTATTCCAGACTTTACAAAGTCTGTTACTATCAGAGACTGGTAGTAAGGTCCTGGAGTCTGAACAAGTTCTCCAAAGTTGGGCACAGTAGTGTACACCTGCAACCTCAGCTTCTATCAACTGAGCTATATCCCTAGCCCTGGCCTCAAACTTGTGATCCTCCTGCCTTAGCCTCCAGAGTTGCTCAGATTATAGGTATGTACCACTATACCTGACTACAAGCTGACTATAAACTTTCAGATCTTCTCTTATGCCATTTTCCTCTCTGTACCTTAGATACCAGCTCAGTTGCACTGGCTGCTATTTCCTAAAAATAATATCCATTACCAATTCCCAATCTGTGCTTAGGCTATGAGCATCAAAATACTGTAACAATAATATTAAAAGGGCATAAACTTATGATTGTCTATTGCAAGTTGAATATGTGGCTGGAAAATTCCACATCCAATCTTGATGTTTAAGAAAATCTTAGTAAACTAGAATAGAAGCCTACCTTCTTTAGATATACATATTTAAAAAATACATTTGCAGATGATTTGAAACTCAGAAATTCCAAAGAACCGAGAAACAATTAAAACAAAGTTGAGCTGGGTGGGCTGGTGCACGCCTGAAATCCCAGCAACTCAGGAGGATCATGAGTTCAAAGCCAGCCTCAGCAACGGTGAGGCACTAAGCAACTCTGTGACACCCTGTTTCTAAATAAAACACAAACTATGGCTAGGGATGTGGCTCAGTGGTTGAATACCCCTGAGTTCAATCCCTAGTAACCCCCCACAAAAGAATTAAGGTTGTTCAGTAAACAAACTGGTTATCAAGCAAATCCAAGTATTCATTCCTTTCCTCTATATAAGAAATAATCAGTGAGAAAAATATATATAGGAAAAAACATTTTTATACAGAATAACAAAAATTTAAAAATATTTAGAAAAGAATACGCTATATGTTATATTCAGATGAAGAAAATAAAATTATACTGAAAAGCTTTTTAAAAAGAATTTTAGAAAGAGATATTGATTGAGAATCCTAGGTATTCCAGAGGTTGAGTCCAGTCTGGGCAACTTTGTGAAACCCTGTCTCATGAAAAAAGGGCTGGGGATGTAGCTCAATGGGACAGTACCCTGGGTTCAATTCTCAATACTGCCCCTACCCCAAAACTCCAAATAAAGAAAGATACACTCATATCTAATAGTTCAATGTAAATTAGTACTTTTTCCTCTGAAGAAACATTTGACAATGAATATTAGAAATCTTAAGCATGTTAATATGATTTATTCTTAAGATTAGAATTCATCCTAAAGCCATCACAGGATGGGGATGTGCTAAATGGCAGAGTGCTTGCCTAGCATGCATGAGGCCCTGGGTCTGATTCTCAGCACCACCTGATTCTCAGCACCAAAAAAAAAAAAAAAAAATCATGAACACACACAAAGATTTATCTATAAGGATGTTCAGAACAGCCTTATTACTAACAATAAGAAACTAAAAATGCTTAAATATTCAAAAATAAAGATGATCAAACATTATAATACAATAACAAGAGGATACCAATCAGTATTAGTGACCACACATAAGACTATTTATTGACTTACACAGAAAAGCTTATATTAAATGGGAAAAGTACAGTCAGAAATCAATTATTAAAAATAGACAGAGGTGATTATAGGCATGTATGTATGAATGTATGTGCTTACAAAGAAAGAAAGAAAGACTAGAAGGCCAAAAAAAACCCTCTAAAATAATAATGTATATAATAATGTATATTATATTTTGGTAATAAAAAATATGAAAAATTTCTTTGCATCCTTCTCCATGTTTTGAATTATCTCTAACAAAATTATATTACTCATACAAGAAAATGTCATTAAAATTTATGAAGAGGGGGCTGGAGTGTAGCTCAGTGGTAAAGCGCTTGCCTAGCATGTGTAAGGCACTGGGTTCAATCCTTAGCACCACATAAAAATAAATAAAATAAAGACATTCTGTCCATCTACAACTACAAAAAAAAAATTTATGAAGAGGTATAAATTACTTACTTTAATAGCAATGTTAATAGAAACTTCTTGAATATTAGCAAGTGGTGGGTAAAGTCTCCCCTGAGCTAACTCTTCATCTGTCAATTGACTTGTCAGTGCCTGAAAAGAAAAGCATAACTTTACTTCTGTTAGTTTAAATAACAGAAAGATCTATTAAAATGAAAAAAAATCAGTGGAGAAAGAGAAAAGCATAGGTTACAAAATTCTTATTTTTTGCAGGAATACATAAACCTCTACAGAAATTAAAACTGTTTATACAAGAAATAAAACAGATTTTTTTGATGCATTCTACCCAATACATAGAAAGCCTGGCAAAATTACAATATCTATTAAGAAAATAGACATCAGTATTTGTATTAATGTGATTTCTTCAGAATTTCTATTGCAAAATCCAGAAGCCAGAATTCCAAATAAACTATCTCCATTAAAAATATGGAGAGGGGCTGGAGTTGTGGCTCTGCAGTAGAGCACTTGCCTAGTATGAGCAAGGCCCTGGGTTTGATCCTCAGTGCCACATAAAAATAAATAAATTAATTAAAGATATTGTATCCAACTGTAACTAAAACATAAATAAAAATACTAAGATATTTATATATTTATATCTATATTGTCATGGTACCTTTATATTCTCTCTCTCTCTCACACACACACACACGCATGCACGCAGAAGTTTTAAACATCATAAATATGAAAGAATTAATAGTTTACAACTAAATGTTTAAAAGTAGACAGGCAAATAAAAAAAGCCATGGGTGGTAACTTCCCTTTCATTAATAGGGCAGAGTTAAACCATTCTCTATTTTAAGACCCATTCATCTTTATAATTATTCCTTTATAAGATAAACATTTTAAACTTACCTTTGCAGCTTCTAGGAAAACATTATCACTGATATGTCGAGTTTGACAGAGAATAACAGCTAAAGCCACACCTGAAAGAAATTTTGAGTACTTTATTTAGTAAGGTCACTTTTCAAATTATGAAAGGGGCCAAATTCCTATAAAAAAGTACATAAGTGGTAATTTACTCCCATCCCAAACAACCCCCAAGAAAAAACAAAAATCTGAGCTAAAATCAAACCAAATGATTTCTGTTAACTTACAATTCTTATTTGCTTAAGGATGTTATTTTAGAAATAAATGGCTTCTCAATTTAATTTTTAAGTTCACCAAAATTACAAATGCATATAATCCATCAATATTAATTACAAAAAACACCAATTTCCAGTCTACCTCTAGCCCTCCACTTCTTGCTCAAGAAAAGGAACTACTTTCAATTCATTATTTTAATATTTCTCTTACCCTTAAATAAATTGCTTATATTTCTTCTTATTTGGGGGTTCTAGATATTATTGATTCTTTCTGGGAAGCAAATATCTAGCTCTCCCCATATTTTCAGCTTTTTCCCTTCTTCCCAATATAACAAGCACAAGTCTGGTTTAATGGACCCTCAAAATTTATGTCATTATGGGGCTGGGGTTGTAGCTCAATGTTAGAGTGCTTGCCTATAATGTGAGGGGCACTGGGTTTGATTCTCATTTATATTTATAAATAAATAAATAAATAAATAAATAAATAAATAAAATAAAGGTCCTTCAACAATAAAAATATTTTTAAAAATTTATGTCATCATGACTTCATAGGCACTGTTCACATCCAAATGCTGTATCATGATTACTTTTGCTCTTCTGTATAAAATTCTGTTTTCCCTGAAGTTAATTATTGTCCTGTTTTCCCCATTATTTTGACTTTTCAGTACTTAATTTCATCCTGCAACTCTCCCCCAACTGAAAGAAATCTATTCTGGCTCCCTTGTATATTCTCTAATTTCATACTCTAGCATAAACATCTGCTGAAGCTCTATAGTCTGGTCAGGTTGTTCTCCATTCCAGATGGGGAACTGTCGGTCATCCTGGAAACCCTGGTATCAACATGGGGATTCTCTTTGCTTTTGGGACCATTTCCTATCCCATTTCTTCCTAGTGTTTTACTTATTTATTTATTTTTAAAAACTCTTTCAGGGCATACTTTCCATGGGTTTTCTGAAAAACAGTGTATGAGGGATACATTTTTTTGAAACTTGGCATTTCTGAAAATGTGCATGCTTGTCTACTTCTTTCCACTTATTTCATTATCTAGGTTTGGAATTTTGTTTAGAAATAATTCTCTCCTAGAATTGTGAGGTATCATTCCAATATCTCCTGACTTCCTGTGTTGGTGACAAGTCCAGTGTCAACATGATTCCAGAACCTTTCTTTTTGTTTCATCTCTAGAAACATATAGGATCTTTGTTTTTGTACCTCTGTTCTTCAATTTTATAACACTGCCTTGAGGTACACTTTTGCCCACCATGGTTAACACTCAGTGCTAAGCCATTCCTACCTGAAAACCTGAGTCTTTCTGTTTGAGGAAATGTTCACGAAGTCTTTGAAGCCCCCTCCCTGATCTTTTTGTTCTCTTATCCTAGAGTTTCTCATTACCTCCTGGACTAACCCTTTAATTATCTTTATTTCCCATGTCTTGTCCTTTGCTCTATTTTGAGGTGACTTTCTTAACATCTTCTCTAATCTTTCTACTCACATCCTTTTTTTTAAGAGCTTGTTTTATTTCCTAATTTTTAAAAAAAACAAATTGTCTTGTTTTGGAACATAATCTTTTTGTCTCCATGACAATATTGAAAGTTGGAAAAAACTTTCCACCTCTTATCACAGTCCTTTTTTTTTTTAGAGAGTGTGAGAGAATTTTTTAATATATTTTTTTTTTTAGTTTTCGGCAGGCACAACATCTTTGTTTGTATGTGGTGCTGAGAATCGAACCCGGGCCGCAGGCATGCCAGGCGAGCGCGCTACCGCTTGAGCCACATCCCCAGCCCTCACAGTCCTTTTTTGTCTCCAATATGCCCTTTTCTGCTTATCTGCTCTGGTTTCTTATTTTCCTTTAATGACTAGAAATCTGAACATTTCTAATGTTTAAAGTGGTACTTATGAGCACAACAGTGGGTGGGGTTCACCCTCTCTGAGCACAGCTGTAGAATGATGTGGCTTTCAATCATCCTACTGAAGAATTAGAAGATTGACACCTCTGTTCTCAGCTGTATCTGGTGACTCCCATTTTAGATACTGTTTTATTTATTCCAATAATATGCCATCATCATTGCAGAGATGGGAAGAACATTCATTCAACTACCAAGGGAAAAAAAGAGGATCACATAATTAGCAGCTGCCTTATTTTGTGTGTGTGTGTATGTATGTGTATATATATATATATATATCTTAAAACTTCTTTTTAGTTGTAGATGGACACAATATCTGTATTTATTTATTTATTTTTATGTGCTGCTGAGAATTGAACCCAGTGGAACTGGTGAACGTCTCACACTTGCTAGGCAAGCACTCTACCATTGAGCCACAACACCAGCCTAATACATATATTTTTAAAGTAAAGCATATGATTCATGTATATTTTTTTAAGTATCTTTTTAAAAGTATTTTTTAGTTGTTGATGGACCTTTATTTTATTTATTTGTATGTGGTACTGAGAATTAAACCCAGTGCCTCACACGTGCTAGGCAAGTGCTCTGCCACTGAGCCACAACCCCAGCCCCATCATGCAGATATTTAAATGTTTGGGAGTAAATCTACTGTCTTCCTATATTTGCCAAGTCCAGTATATATTCATTTTTCTGAGTTGTTTAATAATATTGTTTTACCCCCTAATAAATTTTAATTTATCGTAAATTTTAAGTTTTTTCTAGTTTTTGAGTGGTTATCCTAAAATTTAGAACATGTCCATAAGTAATCAAAACTCCATATTAATTTTAATTTTTCTACCAGAGAATGCAAGTCCCTCATAATAGTTTAATTCTAATTAACCTAAAAGCATTCTTGTTATTTTATATCCATGTATTTTTCTAAATACCGTGTTGTTACAGTTGAGCTCTCTGTACACAATACTGGTTTTGTTTTACCTGCATATTCACAACTTTTGCTTTTCATTCTTTCCTTCATCTTTAAGCTTCTATTTGGGATTTTACTATTGCCTAAGGAACAAGATTTCCCTTCCTTTCATACAAGTGTGTAGGTGGTGAATTCTGTTTTCTGAAATGTCTTCATTTTGCCTTAATTCTTCCAAGATTTTCACTGTGATGATCTAGGTTGGCAAGTATTTCCTAGAAGTAAAATAAACATATAATCCCACTGCCTTTCGGCATATTGTTAAGGAGTCCAATGTCAGCCTAAGAGTTGTTCCTTTGAAAGAAATATTTTTGATCTGGTTGCTTTCATATTTTCTCCTTGTTGTGATTTTTCTGAAATCTCACAATGAGGTTCCTGAGTAGATTTTTTAAAACCTATCCTGTATAGGTTTCAATGAGCTTGACTACTGTCATTTACCAATTCCAAGAACTTCTTGGCCAGAGGCCTGCAAATGTTGACTCTGATTTATTCTCACTTTCTTCTAGGACTTCAGTTAAAAATACAACATTAAAGATATATCTCTTACCTATTTTTTTTGTATTTTCCTTTCTATCTTTGTGCTTTGTTCTCTATTGTCTCTTCTCAGATAGTTTCTGAGTTGACCAATTCTCTTTGGTCTATTCTGCTATAAGCCTCATTTACAATTCAGTTCTTGACTTATTGTTATTTTTGAATTCTAGAATTCAGTAGTTTTTGGCTGAGGTTTTCGAGCTTGGCTTTATCTCTATAAACTTAATAAGCATTTTGGTTTCTTAGCACTTGTCTTATATGTAGAATTTTAGCAGGTCTGTTTTTCTTGTGGTCTCTGCTGGCTTTGGCTTGTGTTGTCATGTCTCTTTACGTGTCTCATTATCTTTAGAAAAATAATCTGAAGACTTAGAATACTGTTATTTCAGAGAAGGTTTGTTTGCTTCTGTTGGGCCCTTGCTGGCACTGGCAGTCCAGAACAAAGGCTTGAGGTTTTCTAGATCACCCACTGCCACTGCAAACCATAACCCCATTCCAAAGTACAGCCCTTTTGGGTTTCAGACTGGAGGGGGAAGGGTTCTTTCCTGAATTTTGATCTGGAAAACATTTTATTAGAGCCAATGTCTGATTAGCCTATTGACCCTTTTAAGGTTGTTTTGTTTTTACAATTTCATACAGTTATTACAGTGACTAGACCACTAATTCCAAAACAATCAGAGCCTTAAGTTTTTAGTTGCTTTACATAAAGACTCTGAGACAATCTTCCTGTTTAAAGGCCATTTTTATCTCCACTGCCAGGTCATTTTTCATGTTCACATTTGTGGTGCTAATAATTTTTATTAATAAAGTTAGAATTTAAAAAAAATTTTTTTTAGTTGTATATGGACACAATATCTTTATTTTATTTTATGTGGTGCTGAGGCTAAAACCCAGTGCCTCACATGTCTGAGGTAAGCACTCTACTACTGAGCTACAACCTCAACACAATAAAGTTAGAACTTTAAAATGTTGTATAAAAAGTAATCAACTACCAAACTCCTTACTAGTCAAATATGATATTAAAGTAGTCTTAGTAAAATAAGCAGAGATGTGTTCCCTTCCCATTTCCTCATGCATTTATACCACAGAAATACTACTGAAGCTGGGCATGGTGGGGCATGCCTATAATCCAGTGGCTCAGGAGGCTAAGGCATGAGGATCATGAGTTCAAAGACACCCTTTGCAACTTATCAAGACCCTGTCTCTAAATAAAATATAAAAAGGGCTGAGGATGTGGCTCAGTGGTTGAGTGCCCCTGGGTTCAAGCCTCAGTACCAACAAACAAAAAAAGAAACACTACTAGATAGAAGAGGTTGATTTCGAACATTATCAAGTTCTACAAAAACATCATCGATGATGGGAGTTTCTATTACAGATGCCAGGTCTCAAGAGACAACAATAACTATACTGGAAGAACGTTCTACATAAAAGCACTGGCATACTTATTGGCTAAATACATCCTTATTGTGACAATAGTAATAACATGCTTGTCTAAGGTGTGCTATTATGTGCTTTGCATCTACCTGCATCTTAATGGGAGGCTGCTGTCAGCTGCTAAGGGTAAGACCCACAGGGGAAGGAAGACAAAAGTGCAAAGGAATTCATGCCAAATCCCTGTACTGCTCAATATAGTCATTCTTAAAAAGAAACTGACAACTAAGGATAATCATAAATTTATGGGGAGGGAAACAGCACAAAGGATAAAATATTGCAAGGAAGAAAGAGATGAAAGAAAATCTAAAACTTTTTTTTTAAAGAAACTATTAAATTAATTCTGGAATAAGAAAATATTAAAGGAATAAAAAATTGTTCAACTGAATGAATTGACGATATATGCTATTAAGCATATTGGGCAATTATTATTAATTCCTTTGGTATGATAATAGTGAGGTGGTCATGTTTTAAAATTCAAAAATTTAGCCAGGTGCAGTGGCGCTCACCTATAATCCCAGCAGCCTGGGAGGCTGAGACAGGGGAATCTCGAGTTCAAAGCCAGCCTCGGCAAAAGCAAGGCACTAAGCAACTCAGTGAGACCCTGTGTCTAAATAAAATATAAAACAGGCTGAAGTGTGGTTCCGAGTTCAATCCCTGGTACTCACTATCCCCCCTCCAAATTCAAAAACTTAATTTTCTGAATATACACTGAAGTTGTTATGAATAAATTTATACTATGTTTCCGATCTCCTTTAAAAAGACTTAAAAAAGCCACACTAGAAGTGCCAAAAAAACACTTAACAGGCATTGATGAATGAGCAAATATCACAGAAACCTTCCATGTTATGAGATAAAATGGCAAAGATGAAAACAGGAAATAAAATTTTGAAGTCAAAGACAGAAGAGAAAGGATTCTACCCATGATCTAATGTAAGCTTTGTAAGAAAAAAACTGAAGTTCTAGAAGGAAAGAAATGGAAGGAAAAAAAAAAAAGTTAAATGGGAATAAACCCAACCTAGATACATTTTAGTAAACTTTCAGAAATATAAAGAGAAAAGTGTGAAGACTCTGAGAGAAAAAAGTTATTATGCATAAAGGGATGTGATTCCTTTTATCAGATTTCTTATCAGCAACACTAACCTTAACAAAAAGTGAATGGTCTTCAAAGGTCTGATGACAAAGACTTTGACTTTACCCAGCCAAACCATCAAGTGAGAAGACAAAATAAAGATAATTTCAGATCTGTAAAACCTCAGGAAGATTTCATACGTTCTTTAGGGAAGGAAAAAAAAAAAAGAAAAAAAAATCTTTAAAGATGTATCCAGAAACACAAGGGAGACAGAATAGAAAAAGACGACGGGACAGAATAGTTTACTCTAGAGTAAGATCAAGGAAGAAAAGAAGAAATTCATTATACTTGATAATACTTGAAATATTTTGAACATCAAAAATTAATGATACAGAACTATATCTTCTAGTGTATTTGTCAAACCACACTGTAGCTGGTGAATAACATTTATATAATCATGGGTTTTTTTTTTGTTTTTATAATTTTGATTTTGAATATTCACAATCTATAGCGGAAGCATGGAAAACAAAAGAATACAATGTATCAAAAAAATTCTCTACAATGTAGAAATATTGACAAATAAAACTGAAAAGTGGAAAAAGAAAGTAACTTAAGATTTTTTTCATTTAGCAAGCTAATAAAAACTCAAATTGCTAACAAAAGCTTGAAAAGCTCTTTAAGTAAGTTACATAAAGATAAAAGCAACTACTTAAGAAAACAAACAGTAATAAGACAAATTGAGTGGTAGATGAAGAAAGGTATCAGAAGGCATGTGTGCGCTATTACTTGTATTTCATAGTGGAAAGTTCAAACATACAGTTGAGTTACAAGAACTCTGATAAAAGGAGATGAGTGGGCCTGATGGTGACTGCCAGAAAAAGTCAGAACCAACTGGTGGTAGTTTTATCTGACAAGTGTGGTTAAGAAGACACTAGGGGGACATACAGAGGGTTAAGCAATTTTCTACCACTTTGTTCCTTTGCATTTTTATGAACCACATACTATATTATTTCTATAATAAAAACAAGATTAATATGAATAAACAAATTTTTAGGGGAAAGAGAGCAAATTGGAAGTTACTGAATTCCTTGAATTTCCCTATACATTTGTAACAAAATTCTGCAAACACCAATGTTTATTCCAAAAAATTTCAGGAAGTATTTTTATGTAATTCCTTATTGCTTTGTAACAAAAATAATGTATTGCTTTGTAACATAAATAATGGTGACATTTACCTGGAAAAATATATACATTATTTCCTTGACCTGGTGTAAAGACTCGCCCATCTTGGAGTTTCACTGGCCCAAATGGACTACCACTGGCAAACAAACACCTTCCCTGTAAATGAAATGAAATAATCTCAACTTTGTTCCTCTACATGGATGAGAAAATTGAGGTGAATTCATATAAAGTTAAGTCTTCTGGTAAATCAGACCAATAAATCACCTGGCAACAAAGCATCATTTACTGTATAACAAATCCTTTTATTAGGATAAGGACTATTTTATGCATAGTATTACATTCGAATAAACCTGAAAAATGTCCGTTAGAGTAAACTTAAAAATTCTGATACTTCTAGTTTCTTTATAAAAATGAAAATGTAAATGGTCCACAAATATAATCCCAATAAAGATGGATATAAATTGTGAATGAAGGAGGAAATGTCACAATTAATTTACGACCATTTACTGTATATCTCCTGTTTTTGGTTCTGTACCAGGTGTTTTATATGTTAATTCAGTTAACTTAGCTCTCTTGAAAACTTTATGAAATTATCATCATCTTCATTTCACTGATTATTAAAAAAAAAAAAAAAAACCCTTGATAAAGTACTTGGTAAAAAGTTACACATCAGGGCTGGGGCTGGGCCTCAGTGGCAAAGCACTTGCCTCGCACAGGTGAGGCACTAGGCTTCAGCACCACATAAATAAATAAACCAAATAAAGGTACTGTGTCTATGTATAACTAAAAAATATTTTTAAAAAAGTTACACATCAAATTTGCAGCAATTAAACTTGACTTGAATTTTTTTATAACTCCAAAGCTCAGGTCTATTATGCTATAATACTCTCTAGCAGGCAATTTATAAAATAGCATTGTACAATCACACTGATTCCAGAAAAAAAACTGGTATTTTACCTTGTTAAAGAAAATATTTCGCTAAACACAAGATATTGAAAATACTGGCTGGGCACAGTGGCACACACCTGTTATCCCAGCAGCCTGGGAGGCTAAGGCAGGAGAATCCCAAGTTCAAAGCTACCCTCAGCAACTTGCAGAGGCCCTAAGCAACTGAGCAAGACCATCTCTCCAAAAAATAAAAAATATAAAGGGCTGGAGATGTGGCTCAGTGGTTAAGCACCCCTGGGTTCAATCCCTGGCACAACAAAACAAAACAAAAACAAAAACAAAAACTAATCTGTTAAAGTCTCCACATATTTTGTAGTCATCTGATTTAGTTCTGCGATCTATAATGGCATGTAATGTTACTAGCATCTTCATTACTTCTAAAAGAATTAGATGCCTATATAATTGAAAATACTAGAGATTTAATTTATAAAACAAAATCCTTTACATATCATTCCCCATTCCCACCTTCTTCTCCCTCCCTCTCAAAAAGACAAGAAGAAAACAATAGTGCTCAAACAGAATACTCTATCTTGTAATACTCAGGAATAACTAAAATAAGCCACGGGTCATTAGGTTAAAAGATAATTTACAGAAGACTGAAGGATGGACAAACTACCATGACACCTGAACATTCAACCAAGTTATAATAAGTGTTTGGACACTGCTTTATCTTCTTTTTCTCAGATTTGAAAATATATATTATATCAAGAATAATGATTATTCTTCAGAATAGATCTGGGCACTAGTGAATTCATTAACATTCAAGAATTTGACTCTAGGCAATTTGTCCACAAATTTATGTTAAACATGTGCAAGGCTGCAGTTTTCAATTTCAAAATGATACAAAGTTTAAGTGTGAAAGCAAGTTCACTATGGTAATGGTGGCCCAGCTGACTAGTTTGGATTTGCAACTCCATACAGCTATGTAATTTTTCTACTCACTCTACAGATAGTTATTATAATCCTCTACTTGTCCTAAACATAGCTCTACCTGTGGCAAAAAAGTTTTACTTCTTTGATGAGTAATGTCACTGTATGTCTTAGGTCATATGTTACCAAACTAACATATACAGAATATTTTTGTGGCACCATTAATTTTAATAGCCTTATTAAGTGGATTATACAATATAACACTTTACAGGAAAAAATGTTATGCCTTCACAATATCAGTCAGTTTTCAGACTTAGAAAGATTTTAGGAATGTCTTAAATGGAATCTACATTTTCTCCAGGCCACCTTTATCTTCTCCCTCCCCCGAAATCAAAATGGAGCTTAAACATAGCCAGATCTTAATGATAACAGCATTCTCATTCTGAAGTCAACCTGGCCAATCTGAACAAATGGCCATTAAAACATGAGACATTTGGGGCTTTTGTTTGTTTGTTTGTTTTAAGTATTTTTCTCACTGAGCAGCAGAGGGTGTTAGAGTAACACTAAGACATGTCTCCACTGAACAGGACACCAAGAGTTGACTGCAACCACATAGAAACTTCTGCCATTATTTCATGTAGCACTAAGAATTCACATAAAGTTGAAACTATGAGTCAATGCCTTCCTATTTCTTGGTAAGAGACAGGATGACTTCAAAGTTATAAAAATTGCAAAAAAAATTTGCATCTTAAAACTGCTGAAATGCCCAGGCATGGTCACACATGCCTGGAATCCCAGTGGCTAGGGAGGCTAAGGCACTAAGCAACTCAGTGAGATTCTGTCTCTAAATAATGTACAAAATAGGGCTGGGGATGTGGCTCAATAGTCGAGTGCCCCTGAGTTCAATCCCCAGGACCCTAAAATAAAAAACAAAAATAAAAAACCCCTGCTATCAAACTAGTCTCCCTTCGGAATTTTAATATTCATACCAATAATGTATACTTTATCAATAAAATTTATTCAAAAATTCTTTAACGAGTAGAATACACTACTATTGCTCAATACATTCAATTTTTTTTTTTTTTTTACATTTTAGAAATGCCAAACCCATAATACATTGAATATATGTACCAAAAAGTCATTATGTAAGATTAAGGTTTAATTTTAGGGACAAAAGCTATCCATTTTATGTAAAACCTGGCGGATAGGATAGGCAATCAATCTAAAAGTAATACATATTTAGCAAAAAGATCAGGCAGTACACTGAGACTGATTCTAAAAACTATGATGATTCTGAAACTGATTTTCTTTCTTTATTTAAAGAGATGGGGCCTCATTCTGTTGTCCAGTCTGGTTTCAAACTCCAGATCCTCCCACTTCAGCCTCTGAGTTGCTAAGATTACAGGTGCATGCCTCTGTGCCCCATGCAATTAATTTTTAAAAAGGAGGAAGTGCCATATGCAATGGGGTACATTTAATTCCAGCTACTTGGAAGGCTGAGGCAGAATGAGCACCAACTTTGAGGACAAACTGGGCAATTTAGTAAGCCTCTGTCTCAATATAAAATTTAAAAAGGGCTGGGGACATAGTTCAGTGGTAGAGTGCTTGTTCATGCACAAGACTTTAGGTTCAATTCCTAGCACAAAAAAAAAAAAAAAAAAAAAAAGAAAGAAAGAATGAATTTCAATAATTATTGTGTTTACTGGATGTCATCACAGAGAAAAAAACAGAATAATAAAGATGTAAAGACATAAATATTATGTCCAGAAAGTTCTGAGAAAGTGCAGCTTTAACAATAATCTTCTAGGTTGCTTCATACTAACTTTCTCTAAGGTTACAATTAAAAAAAAAAAAAATCAATCTATCCATCCATCCATTTTTCAGGACTAAGGATTAAACTCAGGGTTGCTCTACCATTGATCTACATTCCCAAGCCTTTTCTATTCTTTCCAAGTAGCCTGGATTACAGGTGTGCATCATTGTACTTGGTTAAAGTAAATGTATTTTTAAAAATGTTCTTTGGGCCAGGGATGTGGCTCATGCGGTAGCATGCTCACCTGGCATGCATGGGGCGCTGGGTTCGATCCTCAGCACCACATGAAAACAAAGATGTTGTGTCCACCGAAAACTAAAAAATAAATATTAAAAAATTCTCTCTCTCTCTTTAAAAAAAAAATGTTCTTTTTGTTAATATTTTTAAAACGTTCTTTAAAAAAAATGAAACAGAGTATTACCAAATAGTGAAAGTGTGGTGTTAGGGGTGGAAGGGGGATGGTTTTTAATACCCAAAAGAAGAGGAAAGCAAGATACAAGGCCAAGCTGGGCAAGGTGGCGTATGCCCATCATCCCAGCGGCTCAGGAGGCTGAAGCAGCAGTATGGTTCAAAGTCAACCTCAGCAAAAGTGAGGTGTTAAGCAACTCAGTGAGATCTTGTCTCTAAATAAAATACAAATAAGGCTGGGGATGTGGCTCAGGGATCGAGTGCCCCTGAGTTCAATCCCGGTAAACAAACAAACAAATAAATAATAAAAAGGGCTGGAGATGTAGCTGAATGGTAAAGTATCCTTGGTTAAATCCCCAGTATAAAAAAAAAAAAAAAAAAAAAAAGGAAAAGAAAAAGATATAAGGTCAGTAATTAAATCTTTTCCCCTCAACTGGTAATTTCAAAGGCAAAAACTGTGGCTTTTACCTGTGTAACAGATAAGTTCAGGGACCACTAAGAATGAAGGTTGCTGGTAAATACTCCAGGGCTTTGGAGCCATACCCAAAGGGGTACACATTTGGAGGAAGAAGAAACTGGAAACAGACTAGGCCTCACCTAGACTGCATCCTGGTTGGATTATGATGATGTACCCCATCCTAATAGTCACCAGAGGATACATGAAGCCCCTCTGGAGGAAGAGAATGTCATCCAGACCCTCAAATGATTGTTATAATTCCTCACTCATACTATCCAGCACTCAATAAAAAAACAAACAAACAAGTAGGCTTATGAAATGACAAAAACTATTTACCCAAGGAAAAAAAAAAAGGAGACATAATAAAAGTGGACTTACATAAATTGAGATATTTGCTATAATCAGAACCTTCAACTGTAATTCAGTGCAATCCCCAGTACCACCAAAAAAAAAAAAAAGAAGAGAAAGAAAGAAAAAAATATCCTGTAATTGTAATTCATATATATTCAAGAAATTATTTTACCCAACTTTATCACAGATTTATTACTTTATTTATTCTCAAGGGTATGACCTAACAATCTGCTGAACACCATTATAAAGAGGCCTTTATGGGCCAGGTATGGTGACCCACACCTGTAATCTCAGTGGCTCCCAGCAGCTGGGGAGCTGTGACAGGAGGATCACGAGTTCAAAGCCAGCCTCAGCAACAGCGAGGCTCTTAGCAACTCAGTGAGACCCTGTCTCTAAATAAAACACAAAATAGGGCTGGGGATGTGGCTCAGTTTAAGTGCCTCTGAGTTCAATCCCTAGCACCAAAATGAAAAGCCCTTATATTCATTCTCTGGGGGGGCTGGAGGTGTAGATCAGTATAGAATGCTTGCCTAACACAAGCAAGATCCTGAGTTCAATCCCCAACAGAAAGGAAGAAAGGAAGGGAGGAAAGAAGGAAAAAAAAATCACTTTCTAGAGCCACTTAAAGATCAATTACAAGAATAAAGGAAGTGATTTTGCTATGAAGATTACAAGTATAGAAAGTATAGAACATTAGGGAGGAAAAAGCCAAACAGAACTGTCTTAATGGTATATAAGCAGGTATTTGTAATTGAGATATAACCTTGTGACAATATCAAATAATTTGAAAGTACTAAATCTCAAAACAATTTTAAATAAAAATTTGTTACAGGAAGCTATCAGTCAACTCAAAAAAATGACCTAGTAAAGATAAACACTGATGGTGAAGTGAGTAAAAAATAATTGCTTCATAAAATATGGGGGAGGAAAACAGAATCTATAAACTGATAATTTCTGCGATTTTAAGTCTGTCATTAAATTAATCAATTATAAAAGAAACAGAAAGTCTACAAATGAAAATAATACAATAATTAAAATTAAGAACCTAAACACAAACTAGTACAACTGGAAAGAGAATCTGCAAACAGGAAGAAGGTCCAAAGAAAATCATCAGGCTGAAACACAGAGCAAAAAGGATGATATATACAGAAAACAATGTAAGGGATAATGGAGATACAGTGAAGTCTGATTGTGCAACTGGAGTTCCATAAGAGGAGAGAGAGATTATGGCCAAAGCATAGGAAACCGAAAAACAAAACAAAACCAGATATCAAGCCACACATTCAGGAACCCTATAATCTCTAAGTGGAATAAACACAAAGATACATTATTGTAAAACTGCTAAAAACTCAAGATGAGGAATCAAAAGAAAAACAGAAGTCAGAAAACAATACTATCTTCAAAGGCTGAAATAATGTAACCACCAACTTTTGCTTCTATACAGAACAAAAATATACTTGTAACAACAAAAAAAAAATTTTAAATAAACCCTCTAGCTTCACTTGCTATTAGCTAACAAGAATGACTCACTTGGAGGCCACATGGCTGGAAAATACAGTTAATATTCCACTAGCTTTGCTCTAAGTAATACCTCTGACATGTGGGTTATGATAATGATTGTCTACATTACTTTTCATGGACTTGAGGCCAGTTTTGCTAAAAATACTGACTCTTCTCTTGGGCCTAAAGATGTGTGACAGGTGACTACTATGAGATGAAAAGGCTCAGCCTATCTGTCTTTATACCACATTTGTCTCCTTTGTTGCCTTAACCTTTGTGTCAGACTCTACTTAGCACTGCATGTAGACATGGTAATCATCTGGGAAATGTTTTGTCCAAAACTATAATATAGGGTTAACTTGGCCTAGACTTGCCCAGTCTCTCTCCTCTCCACTTCAAGGCTAAAGAGACCCACCAGTCCTCATAATTGGAAACACCAGACCACGAAAGGAGTGAAAAGAGGTGGTACATGAGTTCCTGTAAAACCTCACCTATTTCCAGAAAAGACTTGAATGTTCCTCTCCTTTATTAGCCTCTAAGTACATTATTATCCATGTAATTGAGAAGCTGAGGTGTGAGTATGGGCTCCCACTTCTCTACTCTTTGGCCATCAAATAAAGCCTTTCTTTTCCCCTAATGGTCATTTCTCAGACATTGGTTTTGCTGTGGATGAGCCTCCAAACCTGGGTTTGGTAACAAGTCAAAAACGAAGGCAAAAAATTATCAAGAGAATTCACCAGACTCACTTAAGGAAAGGAGTTATTCTAGTAGGAGAAAATGATCCTCGACAGAAGCACAGACATGAAGGAAGGAAAGAATAAGGACAGAAAAAAATAAGGTATAGGTCAAATCCAAATGAAAAATTTATATAGAAAAATAATAATGCCCTTTGGGTTTAAAATGTACAGAGAAAAACAATAGTGCAAACAATGTAAGGGACTTAAAATGGGAGTTATATAACTGTTTTCCAGAATTGATATAAGCCATTTATATCACCCTGATGACCCATGGATGTATATTATAATCTTCAGTGAAACTGCTAAAAGAAGCATGCAAGAATATGTAATTAGTAAGTTAATGGACGGAGAAAACAAAACATAACCAATTCATATAATTATTATTAATACCTCTGTAAGTGTATACGCTTCTTCAGGTGTGCACTCAGCCTGTGTTGTAGGATTACTTAATGCAAATATTATAGGCCTTTCATTGATACGGGCCATGGCTTTGATTACAGCAGGAGTAAAAAGCCGGCCAGCACCTGCAACTCCTGCAATAAATAAGGGGGAAAAGTAACTTCAGCAGAGATATAATTAAGAACTTACCAATAGCATCTCTACAATAGGTCAACCATAATAAAACCATATATAATCTCATTATAAAGATAAATTTTGCATTGCTAATACTCTGAGAACACAATCTTTAAATCTGAAAAGAAAAACAATGAAATGCTGAAAATTCTCATCTAAATATTTATTATTACCACATGCATAGCAAATTATAGAAGATTAAAGAAAAACAAACAAAAAAAGGATAACATTATCTATAGCAGCCAGGTGTGATGGTGCATGCCTGTAATCCCAGCGTCTAGGTAGGCCAAGGCAGGAGGATTACAATTTTGAAGCCAGCCTCAGTAACTTATCGAGGCCTTAAGGAACTTATTTAAGACCTTGTCTCAAAACAAAAAATAAAAAGGTCTGGGGATGTTGCTCAGTGGTTAAGCACCCCTGAATTTCATCCCCAGCACCAAAAAAAAAAAAAAAAGAAAGAAAGAAAAAGATTATCTATAGCACTCTAAGACAAAACTTGTATGAACCTTTTAATGAATTTAATGAATGAACTTCAGAACATTAAGCTAAATGTACTAGTGACAAAAAGACAAAAATTTTATGTTTTCATTCATGAGGTACCTAGCGCACAGAAAGTAAAATGCAGTTGCCAGGAGCTGGGAGAATGGGAATTATTGTTTGATGGGTATTAAGTTTTAGTGTCACAAAAGAAAAGAATCCTGGAGATGGCTAAAGACAACAATGGGAATATATTTAAAAATGGTTTGGGATGGCAAATTTTGTGTATATTTTACCACAGTTTAAAAAAGTTAAAAAAGACGAGAAAACCTGTCTCAATTGTTAAATTGTTAAAACTCTGTGGCACTCATTACAAAATAAAAGAAGTTCAGAAGAGATAAAAGATCATCTTGATTACTAAGCAATCAATATTTGAATACAGTTTCAGTTGAGTTTTTAATGTCCCAGACACAGAATGGGGCCATAAAGATGCAAAAATGATTATAATGCAGGCAGGTTACAGTTGAGGAAAAAAAATCAAGAAAATAAACTGAAAACAAAACATTTTCAATGGTTGTTAGGAAAGAACAAGTGCAAGGTTGGAGAAGCACACACTTAGGTCGTGGTAGGAAGTGGAGACAACTAAAAATGCATCAGCTGAGGTCTTTTTGCTTCCTAACCCTCTGGAAGTAGAATGAGTCAGTGAATACATTTCTAGGTTTCCATATGGAGTTCTATTTGCAGATGACATGATTCTATACCTAGCAGACCCAAAAGGGCCTACAAAGAAACTATTAGAGGTAATAAATGAATTCAGCAAAGTGGCAGGATATAAAACCAACACGCATAAATCAAAGGCATTCCTGTATATCAGCGACAAATCCTCTGAAATGGAAATGAGGACAACCACTCCATTCACAATATCCTCAAAAAAAATAAAATACTTGGGAATCAACCTAACAAAAGAGGTGAAAGACTTATATAATGAAAACTACAGAACTCTAAAGAGAGAAATAGAAGAAGATCTTAGAAGATGGAAAAATATAACCTGTTCATGGATAGGCAGAACTAACATCATCAAAATGGCAATATTACCAAAAGTTCTCTATAGGTTTAATGCAATGCCAATCAAAATCCCAATGGCATTTCTTGTAGAAATAGAGAAAGCAATCATGAAATTCGTATGGAAAAATAAAAGACCCAGAATAGCAAAAACAATGCTAAGCAGGAAGTGGGAATCAGGTGGTATAGCGATACCAGACTTCAAACTATACTACAGAGCAATAGTAACAAAAACAGCATGGTACTGGTACCAAAACAGGCGGGTGGACCAATGGTACAGAATAGAGGACACAGAAACCAATCCACAAAACTACAACTATCTTATATTTGATAAAGGGGCTAAAAGCGTGCAATGGAGGAAGGATAGCATCTTCAACAAATGGTGCTGGGAAAACTGGAAATCCATATGCAACAAAATGAAACTGAATCCCTTTCTCTTGCCATGCACAAAAGTTAACTCAAAATGGATCAAGGAGCTTGATATCAAATCAGAGATTCTGCGCCTGATAGAAGAAAAAGTTGGCTACGATCTACATACTGTGGGGTCGGGCTCCAAATTCCTCAATAGGACACCCATAGCACAAGAGTTAATAACTAGAATCAACAAATGGGACTTACTCAAACTAAAAAGTTTTTTCTCAGCAAAAGAAACAATAAGAGAGGTAAATAGGGAGCCTACATCCTGGGAACAAATCTTTACTCCTCACACTTCAGATAGAGCCCTAATATCCAGAGTATACAAAGAACTCAAAAAATTAGACAATAAGATAACAAATAACCCAATCAACAAATGGGCCAAGGACCTGAACAGACACTTCTCAGAGGAGGACATACAATCAATCAACAAGTACATGAAAAAATGCTCACCATCTCTAGCAGTCAGAGAAATGCAAATCAAAACCACCCTAAGATACCATCTCACTCCAGTAAGATTGGCAGCCATTATGAAGTCAAACAACAACAAGTGCTGGCGAGGATGTGGGGAAAAGGGTACACTTGTACATTGCTGGTGGGACTGCAAATTGGTGCAGCCAATTTGGAAAGCAGTATGGAGATTTCTTGGAAAGCTGGGAATGGAACTACCATTTGACCCAGCTATTCCCCTTCTCGGTCTATTCCCTAAAGACCTAAAAAGAGCATGCTTCAGGGACACTGCTACATCGATGTTCATAGCAGCACAATTCACAATAGCAAGACTGTGGAACCAACCTAGATGCCCTTCAATAGACGAATGGATTAAAAAAATGTGGCATTTATACACAATGGAGTATTATTCTGCATTAAAAAATGACAAAATCATAGAGTTTGCGGGGAAATGGTTGGCATTAGAGCAGATTATGCTAAGTGAAGCTAGCCAATCCCTAAAAAACAAATGCCAAATGTCTTCTTTGATATAAGGAGAGTAACTAAGAACAGAGTAGGGACGAAGAGCATGAGAAGAAGATTAACATTAAACAGGGATGAGAAGTGGGAGGGAAAGGAGAGAGAAGGGAAATTGCATGGAAATGGAAGGAGACCCTCAGGGTTATACAAAAGTACATACAAGAGGAAGTGAGGGGAAAGGGAAAAATAATACAAGGGGGAGAAATGAATGACAGTAGAGGGGGTAGAGAGAGAAGAGGGGAGGGGAGGGGAGGGGAGGGGGGATAGTAGAGGATAGGAAAGGCAGCAGAATACAACAGACACTAGTATGGCAATATGTAAATCAATGGATGTGTAACTGATGTGATTCTGCAATCTGTGTACGGGGTAAAAATGGGAATTCATAACCCACTTGAATCAAAGTGTGAAATATGATATATCAAGAACTATGTAATGTTTTGAACAACCAACAATAAAAATTAAAAAAAAAAAAGAACTATGTAATGTTTTGAACAACCAACATTAAAAATTAAAAAAAAAAAAAAAAAATATCTTTTTTTTTTTTTTTTGTACTGGGGATTCAACTCAGGGGCATTCAACCACTGAGCCACATCCCCAGCCCTATTTTGTATTTTATTTAGAGCCAGGGTCTCACTGAGCTGCTCAGTGCCTCACAATGAATAAGGCTGGCTTTGAACTTGAAATCCGCCCGTTTCAGCCTCCCAAGCCACTGGGATTACAGGCATGTGCCACCGTGCCCAGCCCAGCCCAGCCCAGCCCATATTGAGTTTTGGGGGGAATGAAAATAGAGTCTTTTTTTTTTTTTTTTTTTTAAAGGGGGGGCCAGGGGGGAGAGAGAGAGAGAATTTTTAACATTTTTTTTTTTTTTTTTAGTTTTCGGCGGACACAACATCTTTGTTTGTATGTGGTGCTGAGGATCGAACCCGGGCCGCACGCATGCCAGGCAAGCGTGCTACCACTTGAGCCACATCCCCCGCCCGAAAATAGAGTCTTTAAGCTTTCTTCTCACTATAAAAAATTAAAAGAGTTGTTGAGCATTTAGTTAAAAGATTTGTTTCTTATACTTTTAAGTGCTTGTGTGCTCTGCAGTTGAGCTACATACTCAGTCATTACCACCCTAGCCACTTTGTAAAACTTTTGAGACAAGATCTTGCTCAGTTGCCCAGCTGGCTTAGAACTTTCCATCCTCCTGTCTCAGCCTCTCCAATAGCTGGGACTACAAGTATGCATCACCATGCCCCGGCAAATACTCCTTTTTTAAAGACTTAATTTCTCTGCTGAGAATTCAGTGCTATGTTGGCAACTTATGTCAGCTGTGCAAAGCTTGACTCAAAACACTTGAAAGATTTCAACTTTGTTGCTAATGAAATGCTGCATTGGATTATCCCAAATAGTCTGTCAAATGAACTACATCTTTTTAAGTTTTGAGCATGACCACCCTAACTATAAAAACAAAGCACAATAATGAGCAGGGTGGGCATGCACACACATGCCTATAATCTAGCTACCAAGAAGGCTGAGCCTAGGAGATTAAGACCAGCCTGGGCAACATAGTGAAACCCTGTGCTTAAAAAAAACCCCAAAGAACAGCAATCCCTTAGGGAAGGAGGTGAAGGAGAGGATACAAGCAAAGTATAATCAATTGCAGAGCACACAGCATTTAAAAGTATAAGAAACATCTTTTAACTAAATGCTCAAGCATCATGACCAAAAAGCTGTCTCAGAAAATGTGAATCAACTCTCTGTATTTGTGGGGTTCTACATATGTGAATTCAACCAACTGCAAACAGAAAATACTTAAGGAAAAAACTGTGCCTACACTAACTAGCATGTACAGACTTTTCCTTGTCCTTATTCCATAAATAATACAGTATAACAACTATTTATAATGTATTAGGTATTATAAGTAATCTAGAGATACTTTAAAATATATAGGAGAATATGCATAGGTTATATGCAAATACCACACCTTTTAATATAAGAGACTTAAGTATCAGATTTTGGTATCCATGAGGATCCTGGAACCAATCCACCCAAAAGGCCAAGGGATAACTGTATATGTTAAAAGCTAGGCAGAAATGTTAATTCATTCTTAGTAATCTTACAGAGTAGTTACAACTGGTAACAGTTAAGTAATAGAATGATTTATCAACAACTTTACTTACCAATTATAGTTGAAGGCTTAATTATATTTACTGCATCTTCAAAAGTATCAGGTGTGCTTTCTGGAGCTGGGTGAGCAAATGGTTCCTGATTACTATCTATTTTAGCACTCCGCCCCTAAATTTTTTGATAAAATACAGTAGTTTTTAGTGAGTGCATAATGAAGATTAACAGAAGACAACATTTTATGAGTTACATACATATTATTTCTACAATAGAAATGTCTTTTCATTTACTTTTCTCCTTAACTCATTTATTTCATTTCCAACTTCACAGTGTCCGAATATATATCAAATTCCATTACGCTCAGAAACTTTCTAGTCTCTTTCAAAAACTCATTTATTCTATGAAGTATACCAAAATTGAATATGGCACAAAGGCCTACAACCCTTTATCTTAGCAAGCTGAGTTTTGGAATTAAGAACTTCTCATATTTAGGAATGCAATTTGGCATTCTAACAAGTATTATGAATATTCCCTGACAAATGGGCACTCTACAATGGAACAAACTTAACCAGTCACATCAAGTAAAAAGGTGTATTTCTTTATTTACTTTTTGCAGTGCTGGAGATCAAACCCAAGACCTTGCACATTTGAGGCAAGCAATCTAAAATTGAACTACATATCTCTATATTCCCCCATATTTGCTCCCCTTTTTGTGAAGCAGAAAGTTTAAGTCTATAAATAGCCTCTCCTAAGTTCAGGTCAGGTTTTGCTACCAGATAAATTCAGATCAATTAAATCTGTCACCAAAATGAATTCAGAAAAAAGCTCTGAGATTTCGGAGTTTTAAGATTTCAGAATTGCAGAAAGACATCATGGGCTTTTACTACAAAGAGTACAAAAACAAGAGGAACAGTGAATTCTGGTTCAAGATGGCTAAACAAAAAAAATCTTTCTAATTCCCAGGGGTAAAAAAAATAAAATAAAATAATATATAATGCCATAAAGCCAAAAAAGTAACATTGACAGCCTATGACAATGAATTTCTAAGATTTAAAGCACACAAAACATACCAAGCACCAAATCAACAAGCTGAGAAACCTGCATCTTTATTTTAGTAAAAGAGAAGCCATCTCCCCACAATAGGAAAAGTTTTTCATCAGAACTCCAGAACAACCAGGCAAGAACCAGAAGGGGCTGGGAAAAAAGTGGGCCATCACAAGTTGGCCAAGCAGTTAATTAAATGACTGAAATACAACCTTATTGGTCTGGTTCTCAGAACACTGTTTTCTTATTCTTGGCCCCAGGATTTCCAAAGCTCTCCAGTTTGAGGGTTTAACAGAAAAACTCTCTAAATGGACTACATTGTTTAGGGTCACCAAAAGAGACTAGGAGCCTAAAACCCAGAGTTTAAGCTACAAGCACATCCTAAAATAAATACTCTGAACCTGAACAGGAATTCTCACTTGCTACTACCACCACTGTTCATTGGATCTACTGTTATAATCACAAAACATCTGACAAAAACCAACATTACAAAATAAAGCAGTAGAAATAGGTAATCTATGTACCAGTAGAAAAATGTAATCTCCCTCCATAACCTTCTAAAACTGTGATGGCTTATAAGCCTTGCACTTTACATACTAGCAAATATAGTAGTTATGCTCCCCTTAGGGAATAGCATGGTTTAATGATTCAGAGCATGGGCTTTACAATCAGACTTCTTAGGTTTAAATTATCTCCATCACTTATAGACAAATGACCTTGGAAAAGTCCCTGATCATTTTTAAAATTCAGTTTCCTCAATTATAAAAATCTTCACAGAAGAAACAAAACAAAAAACCAACCACAGGAGTTTTGAAAGAACTAAAGATAATAAGCTCTTATCACAATGTCTGGTAAACTTCAAATTACTGTTATTTTATTTTAAATTACATATAATTTAAGCCTCAAGGTTATTCATTCATATGTTCTAATTGTTCATTTTATTTTTTGTTTTAATAGAATGCTGATATTAATTAAGAAGAGATATTAAGAAGAAGAGAGGGGTAGGGGCTGTAGCTCAGTGGTGGAGTGCAAGCCTCACATGTGTGAGGCACTGGGTTCGATTCTCAGCACCACATAAAAATAAATAAATAAATAAAGATATTTAAAAAGAAAGAAAGAAAACTAAATCAAGCTTAAAGAGAAAAAGAAAAAGAGAATTGGAGCAAAGTACACTGAGATGGATTGTACTATAGATGTAAATGGCAAGTAACTGCTATGCCATTCTGATGTGCATGCACCAGGCACAGCTGAGCACACCTGTAATACCTGGAACCTAGGAGGCTGAGGCAGGTAGATCACAAGTTCAAGGTCAGCCTCAGCAACTTAGCAAGGCCCTAAATAACTCAGCAAGACCCTGTCTCAAAATAAAAAATAAAAAGGGTTGAGGATGGAGCTCAGTGGTAAAGCATTCCTGGGTTTGATTCCCCATAGCAATCCCCAAATACAACCTTGTATACTAGAAAGTTTCAACTATGGAACAATTTACCTGTATTAATGTTACACAGAGTAAGATCTATGACATTCTTAAGCTAATAAAAATAGCAACCAACTTACATAATACAGGAAGGCAGGCAGTCCAAAGGGTACTAAAATAACCTGGGAGAGCTCTTTATTATCCATGAATTGGTTTTAGAAACATGCTCTTTTAGATTGGTATGGGGGATTATGATATCCAAAGGAATAAAGAATTTCTGCTCAAATATCAGATGTACAGCTAATAATTTGGGATGTTTTGGGTTCTCATTAAAAAACTTAGTTTTAAGGCTGGGGATGCAGCTCAGTGATATCAGTGCTTGCCTAGCATTACAGGCTCTTGATTCCATCCCCAGCATCACATAATAAATTTTAGTTTTATCAGGGTTAAATACAATCATACAGAATGTCTATTTGATTTCTTGCCCAGAGAGCAAAGCAAGAAAGGGTAAGTCTGCTGCCAACAAAGAAATTATAATTTAAGTACAAAGCAAGAGTCTTTATAAAGATAATACGATAGAAGAATCTCTGTTGATAATACAGTGAAAGATCCACAATTGGTATAATTTGGATAGTTCAATGAGATACAAGATTTTAAAAAATCATATTTTAAAAATCCAACTAAAAATGTCATAACAACAATGCTCTTTTGCTTCTCCAAGTTTTAAATGTCTTACCTTGACTAATAAACCAAACTTGTCAAACATCCAGATTTTTTTTTGTGCCTCTTCTTCTGAAAGGCCATTTTCTACCATAGACATAACTATAAGATTTGCAATTCCAAGAGCAGCCTATTAACAAAACACAGATTTTAAAAATGAAAACTAGAGAATGAGAATTGGAAAGTTGCTTTATAACGGTCAAGTTGCTTTATAAATGAAGGTTGTTTGTTATGAAAAATATTTAATTTGTTCTTCCCTTCAAATCACAGAAAAATCAATTCTTTGTGATAATTTCTACAAACACACTTTAAGTTAACTATTTTATAACAGGAGTCGTGAATTTATACCCTGTATATTTCGACAAAATTACAAGCTCATTATGCTCATTTATGAACACTATCATTGTGTCCTACTTTCCAATTCTAAAGGATTGTCGTTTTTAAATTCTAAAAAGCTTAACAAAAACTTACCTCTCCTGCTCCAAGAAATAGAATCTTGTGTTCTGAGATGGGTTTATTAATAACTTTTTGGGCTGCGAGAAGACCTGATAGAGCTACTGAAGCTGTCCCTATTAAAAAAACAAAGATTTTTAAAATTAAAAAAGGTCACATCATAGATGATTAAAAAATAGATATCAAGAACCTAAAGTTCCCTTTTTGCTTTACCTTGAATATCATCATTGAAGGTACAATATTTTTCTCGATATTTTCTCAAGAACCTAAATGCATTATGATTTCCAAAGTCTTCAAATTGAATAAGGGTGTTCCGGCCATATCTAAAACCAGCAAAAACCATAACGGTTGTATTAAAAATACCACTATTAAACAGTTTTCCTACTTAATATTCCTTATAACAGCTTTAAAAACAATGTATTATATTAGTTCAGGGCCATCTAAAAATTTTCAGAGTCTGTGAAAGATTAGACCCAAAATGTAGAAATCCGTATCTTAAAAATAAAAATGTGCTGGATGCAGTGATGCATATCTGTAATCCTAGCAAACAGGGAGGCTGAGGCAGGCAGGGGATCCTTAAGTTCAAGGCCAGCCACAGCAACTTAGTGAGACCCTATCTCAAAAATAAAAATAACAACAACAAAATGTATGAGAGTTTAAAAAGAATGGCGAAGCATAATGGGCCCATGAATAACAATCTGTGAAAACTATTTCTAAGAGTTTAGGGGGGTGCCCAGCATATAAGCAACTAAGTAACTTCCTAAAAAGGAAGAGGCTAAGTCTCAAAAAGTATGTATTTGATATACATTCTCATTACTTTAACAATTAAATGGTAAAATAAGAAAGTATATTAAACAAGTAGTTAAAAGTAATTGATATGTAGTTGGCATCCCAGCAAATGGGGAGGCTAAGGCAAAAGGATTTCAAGTTCAAGGCCAGCCTCAGCAACACAGCAAAACTCTGTTTCAAAATATAAAAGGCTGGGAATGTGGCTCAGTATTAAGTGTCCCTGGGTTTAATTCCTGGTACAAAAAAAAAAAAAAAAAAAAAATTTGCTTTGTGAGTTTACCAACATTTGGAGAGAGATGTTAGTCATCTAGGTAAGTAGTAGTAAGGAGGAAGGCTTGAAAAGGAGGTAGGATTTAATCTGGGAAAGAAGAACAAAAAGCAAAAAGGTAGGCAAAACAAAGAAAGGTTTTGGCGACCCTGAATTTTCAGCAATCTGGGTATACATGTCAGGAGTTAAGCTGGGTATGGGGTCCCACACCTGTAATCCCAGCTACTCAAAAGACTGAGGCAGAAGGATCACAAGTTCAAGCTCAGTCTTGGCAACTCAATGAGGCCCTCAGCAACTTAGCAAGACACTATTTCAAAATAAAAACCAAAGGGATAGGGATGTGGCTCAGTGATTTAGTGTCCCTGGGTTCAATCCCCAGTACCAAATAAATAAATAAATAAATTAGGGTTTACATTAAAGAATAGGGAGAAGCTGGTAAAGGTAAGCTGGGGGGCAAAGGTGGGAGGCTTTTTTTTTTTTTTAAGTACCAGGGATTGAACTTGGGGACACTGAGGTCTAAGTTGCTAAGGCTGGCTTTGAACTTTGCTGCTATTCTCTTGCATCAGCCTCCAAGCTGCTGGGATTACAGGTGTGTGCCACCACACCCACCTGGTGGGAGACTCTTAAGTGATGAATTAGTGAAAAAGGACTTGCAGCTGGGCGTGGTAGTGCACACCTGTAACCACAGAGGCGCCAATAACTCCAGAGACTCGGTGACCCCAGAGGCTCAGAAGCTGAGGCAGGAGGATTTCAATTCAAAGCTAGCCTCAGCAACAGTGAGGTGCTAAACAACTCAGTGAGACCCTGTCTCTAAATAAAAATACAAAATAGGTCTGGGATGTAGTTGAGTGCCCTTGAGTTCAATCCCTGGTACCCTTCCCCCGCATACCAAAAAAAAAAAAAAAAAAGAGAGAGAGACTTGCTTCTATGTCCCATTGGGAATCACTGAGGCTGCAGACAAAGGAAGAATTCACATAAGTCTCCTGTCCACAGAGATAAACCTGCCACTGATGTGTAACACATACTGGAGTCTGGAGAGATGAAAACTACAAGAGAAGCAGCTAGGAGGCTGCTATGAGATTTTGATGCAGAAGGCAAAGACACAAGAAGGGACAACTATACAATGCAAAGACATTTAGAGCAAACATATTGGTGATGAGGACCAGCTGGAAAGTGAGGAAGAAACTGTTACAATGCCAAGACAACACTGATGACTAAGAAGATACTGTGTGGTGGCCCAAGGCAGGGAAGTGAGAGGAATAATTGGGGAAGACAGTATCTGGGAAGATTTAAAAGTTCAGCTTTGGATTTGTCAACTTTGTCTCTGAAAAGGAAATAAAATTTTGAGTTCTTCCAGGTGTCAGTAATTTAAAAGGTAGACAGCTAGATTCTAAGGGTAAAGAGTTTGGGTTTTATCTTGTGGCAATAAAAAATTATTCAGATTAAGTAAAAGAATGAAGTACATGTTTACACAGATTAATCTGGTCTTAAAATGAAGATGAACCAGAAAGAAATTACAGGAAAGTTTAGAAGAATTCAGAAGAGATGTGGTAATGGAAGGTTGTGATAATGGAAGAGATGTATTTATGAGGGATGCAAGTGAGAGTGCCAACTGGATGTTGAGGAATATCTGAATGTATGCATGGGTGGTTGATGGAGAGAAGAATTATTAAAGACGACACTAAGAATGAAGGTTTGTCAATAGGGTGAACAATATTGCCATTGACAGTGGGTGGGAAGATAAAAAGCTGTTTAGAAAAAGAGAGTTCAGTTAGACATGAATTTGAAGCAGCAATAGAATATCGTAATGGGGGATTCTAACTATTAGACACAAGACTACTAGGATGGGTTTCCATGGGTCACAGTGTACAAGGCTCAAAGAAGACTACTAGTCAATCATATTTAAAACACACAGAGAGCAAGAAGAACTAGTGAAAACGACAGAAAAGAAACGCAGAAGAAAGACTAAGTTAGGAGTATTTTAGTAGCAAAGAGAAAGTCTCAAGACTACGGAAGTGGGAAAACCAGGTCACAAAGTGCAAGACAGAAAGGGAAGAAGACCAAATGGTCTGAGAAATTTAAAACATGAAAGCTGCAGGAGAGCTTCAGTGGAGGACTGTCAAAGGCTGAAAGGAGGATTGAGCAGTGAGGGTTTGATAAGACAAAGTACAGACTTCCTCCCAGATATCAGGTAGGGCAGGGGTGCCATCTTGCATTAGCCCATCTTATCAAATAAGAAAGAACAAAATTTCCCCAAATTTAATTTCTTCCTGCTTATCTTCATCAGAGATAAAGAAAAATAAAACAGAACTACAGCATCCCAGACCCCAAATTAAAGGTGCTTTTATCTTTCACATACTTAAACTTTTTAAAAAGTACCTGTCAGTAATTGCTTTCATAAACTCATCAATCAGATCATCATAAAGCTGTGAACGATCTCGTTTTTGATACAAGCCCATGTAAAATGGATCCTTTAAGAGTGCCTATAAAAGAAACCAAATGTAAGAATAAGATCTTTTATTACATTACTGGTCTAAAGCTATAAAACAAAACTGTACTCTTTCAAGAAACTTTTAGTAGACTTAATTTACTATTGTTTGTACACATATTAAAAGTGGGGCTTAAGAAAAAGACTAACACCTAAGCATAAGATTTTCCTTTCTTAAATCATCTTCAAAAGATGAACAATTAAAAAACAAACACAGGAGAAACAGCAAAGGAAGAAAACAATATTACTCACTTGATTATCAGTTCCCACATCAATACACACAGGCAGACATCGATCAGGCCGTATTCCTGCACAAGCTGTGTACAAGCAAAGTTTTCCTACTGGAATTCCCATTCCATAGACGCCCAAATCTCCAAGACCAAGAATTCTCTCTCCATCAGTCACCACAACAGCCTTGATTATAAAACAAAGGGAAAAAAAAGCAAATTAAAAGTTGCCCAAAAAACAGGGCACTAAAGAAACACATTTAAAACAAGATTCTCCTCAGATATTTTCACTTTCACTTTTAAAAATAAAATTGCTTTTTGACTAACTTCCAATGTATTCCAATGAAGCATATTTAATATAAGATTTCTACTGAATGCTTCCATCTGAAGAACCAATTCAAACATTTTCAGAAAGATTAAATGTGGGAGAAGTGAAAAAAATTCTGATGAAGATATTACCATTAAGAAAAAACAAGAGTTTAGAAATAAGCAGCATGCTATTCCAATACAATAACCTTGGTTCAATAAGAAAAACCTTAGCAATAGTAAAAGAGGAAAAGATCTAGAATAAAAAAAAAATAACATACCCACAAATAAGGTTTTAAGACAATACTGTGAGTTTAATTACCACACCAAATGTATTCTATATTACCTGAACTAATATGATCAATCATCAATGCTTATTTTGGTAGGGAAGATATATGCAATAAAGGTAAGATTACTGCTTGTAACAAACAAAAGTGTACCAAAAGATCTTGATGTTATTGCATTTCATTTCATGAAAGATAGCCACATTGATAAAGATTTATATTTGCTGAATTTAAAACTTTTAGGAGCTTTCTATTTTCTAAGGATCTAAAGCTCAGATTAAAAATTTTTAAAAAGATAGGCATAACAAATCTCCAACACTCTCCAGAGTAAGTTTTTATGGTATTTGAATGATTTTTTTCAACCTAGAATAACATTAGTAACAAGAGAGGGCTCACCTTGCATTAGCTCCAATTTTTTTTCAAGCTCTTTACTAGTAACCCATTTTAGAACTATTATTATTATTATCATTTCCTCAGATGCAAAGCACTAAAATCTGTATGTATACAAATGCAAAATAATCAGAGCAACAATGAAAAACCATTCATGGCAATTTAGAGACAACTTAAGGGAGAAAAAAAAAAACATTGTGAAAAGGAGGGTTGTGCTATTAGTACCTTAACATGATTTTCTGGCCAGTTATCCACAATTGATCTAACATGACCTCTGTCTGAGATTGAAATAAATAATCCCCTGCAACAGAACAAAAACACCTTTGCATTTCATGACAGTTTTTAGTTTCTAAGTTTTGTCCATAAGTCGAATACTTAGATATTTTAATAAAACACCAAGACATAGTATAATTTCCAATCAGATTTAGCTTAGTCATGTAGGTTTATTTTTGATTATTTCAAATTGTAATTACACTGTTCACATAACTGCAACAAAGATTACTGTTAAATGATATGATCATTTTACTCAAGAAAAAATATATCCACATGGCATGTTCAAATATACTCAATACTTCTCCAGTAAAAAACATAACAAGTCACCAATACAAAGAAGCTTATTAATAAGTTCAAGTGAACTGTTAAAACTCAGTGCAACTGAAAATTTGAAAGAGCAGGAAGGAATAAAATTATAGTAAATTCACATAAAAAATGACATACTTGAAGCACTGGGAAAAAGTGAGGTTATTTTCATTTAAATTTTTATTTTTATTTAAATGTATAATTTTTTAAATTAACAAAAACTATCATATACAACATGGAGTTCTAAAATATGTATAAACAATGGGGGGACTAATGAAAAGTTAAACACAGTATGCTGTTATCTAATTGAGATAAAGTTTTCAAAAAAGAAAGATAGAAAAAAATACATGTTTCAGAAAAAAGGCTGAGGCATAGATTGTCCCCAGTGCTTCTGAACTTATTCTTAACATTCAACTTTTTCACTGGTATTCGAAATTTGGCATTACTATTGTATATCAAATCAATGTAGTCCAGCAGTTTCTTAATCATGGCTATGTAATCACCTGATGAGCTCTTAAAAAGGCCAAGTCCCATCTCCAGAGATTCTGATTTGATGCTTAAGAGTTTAGATTAATCAACCAATCAAGATTAACTGATCTCTTTTTAAGTATCAAACAAAACAAACCTTTGCGGATGTAGTATATTATACAGTAATGATATACAGTATCGACTCTCACCCCAAACCATGCTCTTATGTCTCATGTCAGTTCTCATCTCCGTGTGCACATGAGAATGAAAATTGGGGCTTTTATGAGACACCCATACTTGGGTCCAAGCCTAGACTAAATGAATCAGAATCTCTGGCAGTGGGGCCCAGGCAGCCTTGTTTTTAAGTTTTCTTCTATTTTTTCAGTCTGGCTTGAGAACCACAAATCTTACAAGAAACCATAAACATGATGCTTAGCTGGATTATGTCACAGAAAGTTTTAGATACATTAATTGTTCCTCAGTATCCTACAGGATATACCTGCAACACAATCACAGAGGGTGTTCACTAAACTATAGACTGTCATAGCATTTTTTTTCCTATCAGAATCTTGGGGATTGGAAGAAACGAGGTAAGTTGGCAGGATTCAATTATTTTTAGTAAGTCCAACAGGTGCTTCTTATGCAAATTAAAATTTGAGAGCCATCAGATCAGATGAAGGGAGATTGAAGATAAATGCTATTCTCTCTTTTCTCAATTTCAACATTTATACCAATATGTTAGATGGACATGGGAAAAAATACAAGGACTGAGGAAAATAACAGGTAGAGGAGGAATAAGACAAATATACATTAATTAAAAATGGCATATGTGTAATGCTTGTAAGTTGATAAAGAACAATCATCAGTTTCTTCTCAACAGCTTCTTAACAGGTGTTTTTACCCCTATGTAATATATGAGAAAACACATCCAAAGAGATTGCTTGGTTCATTCAAGGATTTGAGTCAAGAGCCCAATCCAGTACTCCTTCCACTTAAAATGTCTGGAAGTATAAGAACAATTTGAAATAAAAGTTCATTAAAAACAAAAAAAGAGAGAACAAACAATAAAAACTAAAAATGAGATAGAATCAATCCCTTAACTTGGGAAGATTGGTAAAAGCTACTGATAATTATGGAGAATCTACCACTAGGATTAATTCCATTTTTGCAGGAAGGATAAAGGTCTAAAAAGCACAGTTGCTCCAACAATTACATTTTAAGGTTAAAAATGAATTACACTATTTTTAAAGAAATAAAAGACAGAACATGTTGATTTTTTTAACTGACATCTTTTAATCCAAATCGAGCTTTTCTGGGGTGGGAAACATGGTTGGGATAAAACTAACAAATCTAATAGGTGTTATGGAATGATTTTTTTCCCCCTTATACAACAATCATCTACATATATTTTTAAAAATAAGCCTTACTTGGGTCTTCTAAAGATGTGTCCATACTGGGAACAGGCAAGACCAACTGTTGGTGTATATACAATTGGCATTAGACTTTCAATATCATCTTGTAGTATTCTATAAAACAGTTTCTCATTTCTTTCTTGTATTCCCATTATATAGATGTACCTGAAATTAAGCATAGTTAAGCAATGTCTGACTCATACTATGTCACAGCTGAGTTTTAGCTTTTGAAATCAAACCTAAATGTCTAAAATTGGGCTCTCCCCACTTCTATACCCTCTTAAAATATAACACACACACACACACACACCAAAATCTTAAATTATTACTATTCAACACCTAAGACAAAAAACTAGCAAAAACAAATGTACTTAAGTGGTAGATGATAATGAAGAAAATAACAACAACCACCCAAATTTACTAAGTCCTTACTATGTCAGGCTCTGTACAGAACACTGAAAAATGCAAAGATCACTAGAAGCCTCTACCTTTAAGGAGCTAATCTTCAGGAGATTGACATGTAAATAAGGAAGCAAAATGAAGTGACATTCATTCAAATGTTTACTAAACACTAACTGCGCTAGGCACTATTCTGAATTCCAGGGACATATGTTGTAACTCCTGCCAAGAACTTTATAATCCAGTAGGGTTTAAGCATTAATACAAAGAGAAGCACAAATAAGGCAATGGTTTATTCATGGGACTAAATACATAAATAACTTCCAACAAAGAATTAGGTTTAAAGAATAGGGAAATACTGAAATCAGAAATCATCTGGTCTAACAGACTCATATCTTCCTCCAAACTTGTTTCTCCTCTGCTATCACCTAATGGGAAACCCATTTAGTTCTTGATTTTTTTTCCCCCCTCTCCTCTCCTGTCCTCCCTTAACCCAAATGAGCAAATCATCAAGTCCTACAGAGTCTACCGGTAAAACATTTCAATATATCCATTTGCTCCTTCCACCTGCAGCTGGTCCAAACCACCACCATTTCTCACTTGGCCTTCCAACTCAACTTTATACATAAAATTTTCCTTCCCTGTTCCAATTCATTCTTATCTTAAAAATATTAAATATGGTCATTTTATTCTCCTTAAGTGGCTTTCAGATGCCAGGAAAATAAGGCTCAAGCTCCTTAAACAGTTAATAAGACCTCTACCTACTTTCCAACCACATTTCCATACTTATCTACTTCATTTCCTCAAGTGCACAGGTGTTGAACCTAAGGCCCCTCTGCCTGATTACCCGTACCTGACATCGTCCTATACTCATGTCTCTTAATGTAGCTCAGAGGCTCAATCTTGGGGGCCCTTTTCAGTCAACTCCCCTTTCCCACCACAAATAGATACATGTTAGAGTTCCCTGTTTTCAAGTCCCACCATACCCTACTACCTCTTCTGCATTCAACTTTCCATCACTTTTGTACCATTTTAAAGTAAAAAAAATCCTACACTGAACCATCAAAAGTGAGGACTATTTGTAAATGGGATAATGTACACAGGTTATATGCAAATATTATACCATTTTATATAAGAGGCTCGACCACACTGATTTGTGTCCATAGGAGGGGACAGGTGTTCTAGAACCAAACCCCTACAGATACTGAGATATAACTGTACTTCAAACTTTAAATTTCAATATATTCCTGTGACAATGTAGTAAAATATTCTCATGATCCTGGACAGATGAGCCAGTCATAGCTCCCAACCACCCATGTAATCAAGAAGGTCAATGAGTGATGCTGTACAAGCATACTGTGTTGTTGAGTTATGATGAGTGGTAGGTGGGTTATTAAATGCATTTTCACCTTTTTTTTTTGCAATTTATGATGGGTTTATTGGGATGTAACTGCATTATAAGCTGAAGGTTATCTGTATTTGCCTATTTCCAGGAGCTAGCAAAGTATATGGCATCCAACTGGTATACAAATACTTGGTGAATACGCAAGAGAAGAGAAACATTTAAATAATGAATTATATTTTCTGAACAGCTATGGGAAGGAAATGACATCAAAAGGTAGAAATTACAGGAATGCAGATTTCTTCTCACTATAGGGAAATAACTGAACAACTGGGCTGTGAAGATGGAAAAAAACAAGGGCTGGGGCTGTAACTCAGCAGTAGAGCACTTGCCTAGACATGTGAGACAGTGGGTTCGATCCTCAACACCACATAAAAATAAATAAAATAAAGGTAAAAAATAAAAAAGATGGAAAAAGCAATTTTGTGAAGAGACAGCAGGAATGTTAAGGAAAGAAGAGCTGACATATGACTTATCAGGCATGTGACAGAGAGAGGCTGTGCATTTCCTGAAGCTCCCTACATTGCTGTTACTTTTGCCTTCACTTCACTTCAGCCATTCTGTATACCTCACAGTGATCCTGTTGACTTCACCTAAACTGTTAAAGCTCAGAACTGGCAAATGCCCTTATTCCACTCTTAGATCACAATCCTACACACCATTTGACCATACAATGACTTGCTTCATTATTCTTTGAGGGATCTCAAGCTTCTTAATTACTCCATTCTCTCCCCTTCTATCTCTCCCTTTGGGCTCCTCTTCATTCCCTATTCTAGATCCCAGGATCAATGCTCTTATTCTGTGCAAATCTTTCACCAATCTTACCATTTAAAAACTTCTACATATCTTTATCACTGCACCATTCTTCCATAATGCCTGCCTTTTCCACCATACAGTGAACACCCTGAAGGAAGGGTGGGTTTTTTTTTTTTTTCATTTTTTTATAGTATAGGAGCTTAGAACAATGCCTGGCACTGAACAGCCTAGAAAAAACAGCAGATGAATGTTTCTTCTTTCTCTCTTTTCTCTTATGAATGTCTGTCTCTCTGTCTCTCTCTCTCTTTCCAGGGACTGAACCCAGGGCAGCTCAACCACTAAGCCACATCCCAGGCCCTTTTTATTTTATATTTTGAGACTGGGTCTCATTCGGGGCCTCACTAAGTTGCTGAGGCTGGCTCTGAACTTGTGATCCTCCTGTCCCACCCTTGTGAGCAGCTGGGATTCAGGTATGCTCCATCTCCCAGACTAGATGAATGTTTCATTGCCTTCCCAGCAAACTCCAAACCCAAATTAATGTTACATTTCTCCCTTTCTGTGGAAAAATAATATTGACTATGCAGAATGGCACCTGGACAAGCAAGATTAAGATTACGAGGGTCTACTTTCATCCTTTTAACCTATCCAACCATGTTTGGTCTTACCTCACAATCAAATCACTCTTCCTAATATTTATCACTCCCCTCGTCAACTCTATTCAATATTGGCCCTTTTAATCATAGCTGTGATTCCACATTCTGTTATAAAGAAATCAAAGACGTTAGGCATGATGAGATCTCATGACCTCTGCTCCACTGCCAGCATATTGAACCTTTCATACCTACCTCTCCAGTTGCCCCTGCACCTTTTCCCTTTCACTAGGACCTTGCTCTACCTGCTCTAGCAATTATCCTTTCTCCTGAGCTCTTTCCTCACAACTATAAACACGTTCAACTTTCTTGCTGTCCAGAATACTTAAACCAAAGTACCACTTTACTTATGGTTCAATGTCTTTCTTCCTCTCTTATTTGGACTTCTTGACAAAGGAGTTTACATTTTCTCCCCTCCCATTCATTCTTCAGTCTATTCCATTCTTCCTTTGGACCCATCACATCAAAGAAACAACTCTCATCAGTCACCTATAATATCCTATACTTAACAACTCCAACAGATATAGTTAGCTCTGCATTCAGACTGATTCCTCTCCCCAGAATGCCTTGTTCTCCTTTCTCATTTTGACAGCTACCATCAATGTACTACTTAAACTTGAACTCAAGCACCACTTCCTTCAAACTGGAAGAGGTGCCATCTTCATGCTTCCAGAATACATACTGCATGCAGCTTTTTCTCACTGTACTTCACACTGCAATATAGAGTACAGTGATAGTCATACTATAACTATCTGTTGAGAAGCTCCTAGAAAGAAGGCAGGGATATGTGTTACTGGATTGGTCACTGTGTGCTTTGAGTATGTCTCCCAGATTTTATGTTAGAAACACAATCCACAAAGTCATATGTTAATAGTATTTGGAAATGGGGTTCTCTGGAAAGAAACTGGGCATGACGGCTATTAAGATAGAACTCTATGAAGGATAGAACTCTCATATGAAAGAATCAGCAGGAACGTTAAAGAGCACATGACCTATCAGGCAAGTGACAAAGAGACTCTATGATTAATCCTTCACAGACTAATGGGTCATTGAAGGAATTATCAGGAGAGTGGGTGTTTGGCCATCTTGTGAGCTCCCTTCACTACATGATGCCCTGCACAGCCTCAAGACTGCAGAATCCCCATTAGCAAGAAGGCCCTTGCCAGATGCAGCCCCTCATCCTTGGATTTAGCCTCCAGAACTATCATCCACTTTATATCCCCAGCAGTTAGTAGAGTGTCACACCACATGGGTAATGAACTAAATTTGTTAAGTTAAAAGGGTATGAATCAAATGGTATCTTTTGCTTCTAAAGTTGTATTCACAAGTAAAATGCACTGATCTTCAGCATAAAAACTGATTTTGATTTCTGTCAAGCTGAAAATAGTCAACATGAGTGAAGTACTCACTGAAGAAAACAATCACTATAAAAGTAATAGTTAACAAAAAACCCCTCACAAACTTCACCATGAAACTGTGTATTTCTCAGGCCATAATTTATCTTATCAGGATATCAATAAAAAATTAGATACATAATCAATGCTTACTTTTCCAAAGGGCTATTCATTTTTTTCAAGTTTTTATGGAATCGTAAGGCTTGAATATCTTGTGTCTCTATTTTAGGAGGTAAAAGTCCTTGAAGACCAAGCATTTGTCGTTCCTGTAATGTAAATGCCATTCCCTAAAGAAAAGAAATAAAAGGATTAAAATTTACTTACGGGGTAGCAATGTCATTGTCCTTTAATACAAATTTTAAAAATCAACAAAATATATTTGCCCAGACTTTCAAAATTTTATTAGATTGGCAGCATCCAGTATTGGTGAGAATGTGGGAGGAGTTATTCCCACAGAACTTCCACTGGAAATGTAAACTAGTTTAGGCTTTCAGAATGCAATTTTAAAGTACTAAAAAAATTTTTTTTTCTTCATTGGTATAGGGATGGAACCCAAGTTCTCAGTCATGCTAAGCAAGAACTCTACCACTGATCTTAATCCCTGATCCTTTTTTATTTTCTGACAGGGTCTCACTAAATTGTCCAGACTGGCCTGGAACTTGATTCTCTAAGTTTTTTTAATGCTCATATTCTTCAATCAAGCAACATAACTTCCAAATAGCCATCCCAGAGAAATATTCATCAATTATGCAATAAGAACCTATGGTACAGGCATACCATAAAATACCACAGAAATAGTTAAATATTTAAGTCTCTAAGTATGTACAATAGTAGAAAGATCTAAAAGACACAGTTAAAAATAAAAGCAAATTGCCAATCAAAGCACACTGTTAATCTACTTATGTTTAGAAAACTACCTAAAACTACGTATTATATATAAGATGGCATGTAACACATTAAAAGTGAGATTAACAAAATAGAGTTAAAAAAAATCTAAGTCAGAAGAAAATATTAAATTTGTTTTTCAGTTGTGGGATGTATCAAAATGATAATCAACAAAAATGCTGGAGTACAGACTTCTGAAAATTTTTTCTTCCATAAAAGCACAAGTTTTATATATAACCATAAAACTCTAATAAAAAATAGAATTAAAGTCAGCATACTGTATCAATACATGTGTACCCGTATTCATAGCAGAACAATTCACAACAGTTAAACCATGAAAGCAGACTAGGTGTCCATTAATGGATTAATGGCTAAAGAAAATGTGGCATGTGGCATATAGCATATAGCCATAAAGAAGAATGAAATGAGTTCATCTGAAGGAAAATGGATGGAACTTGGGAACATTATGGTAAGCAAAATAAACCAAACTCAGAAAATTAAGCGTCATATGTTTTCTCTCATATGCGAAAGTTAGCAAGGAAAAATGAAAATAAAAATGGGGGAGGGGGAATTTCAAGTTCAAAGGGAGATCAGTAGAGGAATGGGACCAGAGGGAGGGAAGAGAGGAAGAGAAATACTGGGGAATGATATTGACTAAATTATATTATCGTGTGCATGTAAAAGTATGTAACAATGAATCCCACAATTATAATGTACCAGTAAAAAATATGGGAGGAGAAGAAGCAACAAGAATACTGGCCAAATGATCAGAATCAACTTTTTCGGGCTTCCAGAAATAAATCCGATTTGCAACTATCAGGAAGCACTAATTCAAGAAAAAAATAGATGGACTCCAGTAAGCAGCAAGCTTACTAGCCCTATTCTCATCTCCTCTCTCTACCTATGGTGGCCTTGAAAACCAAAAGCTAGAATCACTGTGCAACTTGGCAGCCAGGAAGCTATAGAGGGGGAAGAAGGGGCTAGAGATTGTTCTAAAGCCCTAATCTCAAGGAAAATATCATTATATGATCTGTTCCCTCCATGAACCCACCTGCAAGGCTGTCATTATTTTCGGAGCCTACCCAGTACTAACAGCCTTCGCTCCAGAGGTTTGTTGAAAACACTCAGAGGCAATTATTTAGTGGGCAACTGTCTGAAATACTGGATAACCACTGGTTATAAACCACAGACTAACCAAAAGGCAGAATAAGAAAAGATGAAGATCTGGGTGTGGTGGCACATGCCTATAACCTCAGCTACTTGGGAGGCTAAGGCAGGAGGATCGTTAAGTTTGAGACCAGCCTTGGCAATTTAGTGAGACCCTCTCTCAAAAAATAAAAAAGGACTGAGGATGTGGCTCAGTGATAGGGTACATCTAGGTTCAATCCCCAGTACCAGGGGGCAGGGGGTATTGGGGTGGGGGAGAAAAAGAAAAGGATAAGGAATGAGATGGTTATGTATTGGGGGGAAATCTAGAAGGCTATGTGTATGAGCTGTGAATATGTCCAGGAACGACCTGAGATGGCCCTAAGCTCTTAGCTATGACTAACCTTCAGGCCCTGTGCAAGCAGGAAGTGAGGGTAGGCAGATGCTTAGTTGTAAACTGCCTGCCTCAGTGTTAGTCATGCCCCAACATGCACACAGACCCCTTGCAAAGAGTAGAAGACTTACTGGTTCTGGCTCCAGACCTTTAAGTCTCTGGTTAATCATTAGTTGACAAAACAAACCAGAGAATTCAGTAGGCATACACAACAAGAACATAAAATAATTAGTTCAGAACTGCCACCATAGTGCATGGGAATGTAGCTCAGCAGTAAAGCAGGTACTTAGCATATCCAAAACCTTGATGCTGATTTTGTAGGCATTAAAAATGCAAAAATTATGGGGTCATGGAGAGTTCTACTGAGATTTCAGAGGAAAGGTTGGGAGGCCAGGCATTGTGTGGCAAATTCCAAGTCCCCACAAGCAGGACCTAACAGGGCTATTCATGGAGCAGGGAGAGTGAAACTCCAATGGAGATTCAAGGAAAGGAATATCAGGAACATGAAATGTCAGCTGAGGGATTCTGCAGATAGTATGCAAAGCCAGCCCAAGAGTGTGGCCATGTGGGTTGCAACCATGAAAGTCATAGGGGTAAAGCTGATCAAGCACTTGGTAGCCCACATGATGCCACATGTACACTGGATGCCAGACAAGCAGATGTAGGATTTAATGTTTGCTTTCCTAAGTTTTGATCTTGCTGTGGTCCAATTCCTCCTTTCCGGAATAGGGATGTTTACCCTTTGCCATTGTATCTTGGAAGCATGTGAATTTCTTTTTTTATTTTAACAAGGGCTCACAGCTGCGTATACCCTGAATCTCAGAGGAAACTTTGGACTTGGACTTTTGAGTAATACTAAAATAGTTAAGACTTTTGGGAGTCTTGGAGATGAACTGAACACATCCTATACTGTGGGATAAACATGAGTCTTTGGGGTTGGAGTAGAATACTACACTTTGGATCCTAAATGTTCCCCAAAGTTCCACATGTCCCAGAGTGGAACTATGGGAAGTAGTAGTACGTTTAAGAGGTGGGGCCTAGTGGGAGATCTCCAGGTAACTGGGAACATGCCCTCAAGAAAGATTGTGGGGCTGGTGTTTCAGTGCATGCCTGTAATTCCAAGAACTTGGGAGGCTGAGGCAGGAGGATTACAAGTTGGAGGCCAGTCTCAGCAACTTAGCAAGGGCCTAAGCAACTTAGTGAGACCCTGTTGCAAAAATTAAGAGTGAAGGATGTAGTTCAGTGGCAAAGTGCCCCTGGGTTCAATCCCCAATACAAAAAAAAAAAAAAAAAAAGATTGTGGGGATAGTGGTCTCTTCCTTTCCCATGGCAGATCTGCTGTGCTACGGGTGATTATCTCAGTATTACTATAGTAATGGAAAGTTATCACATCCACATACATCATTATTGAAAAATTCCTTATCCAGATTCTTGAACATACAGGTAAACATGCTAGGAGCAAAGAAGAAGCTTCTTCTTATAAGCTTCCTGTAAGAAATTCTTTCGAGAATTATATTCACTTACTATTTAATAGACATGAATTTTAAACTAGAGTTAATATTTTATTTATTTTTACTGCTGGGTGTGCTAAGTACATGCTACTCCTGAACTCCACAGCCATCCATTATTTATGCTTTTTTTTTTTGCGGGGGGGGGTACTAGGGACTGAACCCAGGGGGTGTTTCACCACTAAGCTACACCCCTAACCCTTTTTATTTTTTCTTTGAGACAGGATCTCCCTAAGCTGCTTAGGACCTCACTGAAACCTCAAAAACTATGAGCCAAAAGAACCTTTTTTTCTTTTATCTTAGGACCTCATTTAGTTGCTGAGGATGACCTTGAACTTGTAATCTTCCTGCCCCAGTCTTCCCAGTTGCTGGGGTTACAGTCAGGTGCCATCACACCCTGATTATTTATGTATTTCTTAACCACATACCAAATACTGTGCTAAGTATGTCAAAAATTTTACTTCATTCAATATGCAGAAAGTATCATGAAGTAGGAACTATTATTTTTGCTATTTTTCATATGACTTCAGATAAGCTTCTTAGAGCTTTGTCAGATGCCCAGAGTGTCACAGTAAGTAAGGTGAAGTGCTAGAACTGAAGTCCAGACTGTGAAAATGCAGTCAGATCCTCTTAACTATCATGTTTACTATTTAATATTGCCACTAAAAAATAAAGGGCTTTGCTCACCAAACCCAGCTCAGCCAAAGAAAGTCATGACTGGAACTCAATACTGCCTAACACATCTGTTCTAATAACAATAATAAAAGTGTCAGGTAATGCTTTCCTTTGAAGCATTACCCCCTAATTATTTCTGTGCAAAGATTTGTGTCTAAAAAGCCTTATGGAGATGGGGTGGGTTGGACTTTAAGCAAAGGTTCATTTCACAATTTTGACCTCACACTCCAAAGGCCTAATGATTGGTCTAGCTTTGAGCTGGGTCAATCGATCCCGTATCTGGCTAAAAAGTCCTGATAGAGTGCTGTTCTGAGATATTTTTCCATCTTTTCTTTTTAGCTAGGAAGTGAAAAATCAAGTCTTCTCTGGTGGTAAAAGTCGTGAAGAAAAAACTCTGGCAGTAAAGAATGAAAGTTCTTATAGAATGAATGAAAAGTTCATACAGAGAAAGCAAATGCCTCTGAAAAGTCTTAGTATAATGCTAATGAATACAAAATTTTCTTTTTTTTTTTAAATTTTTTATTGTTGGTTGTTCAAAACATTACACAGTTCTTGATATATCATATTTCACACTTTGATTCAAGTGGGTTATGAACTCCCATTTTTACCCCGTATACAGATTGCAGAATCACATCAGTTACACATCCATTGATTTACATGTTGCCATACTAGTGTCTGT